TATACTTTGTTGTATCCAAACAATTATCTTATTTGTTGGACTAAAAATTATACAAAATTAGATAATTATTTTGAGATAAATCTAGTAAGATGAAGGACATGAAAAGTGGGGGGAAACAATTTCAGGGTTTCTACCAAACGAATCGAGTCCACGTTTTAAACTCTCTAGTAAATGAATTTGACACACTTTCATCTGAAGGGGAAAAAGAAAAAAGAGTTGCTGAATTATGTGATCATCATATCCTAGAGTTCTGATTTCCAAGTCCGCAACAAAAAATAATCAAATGATCATGAAGGCTATAAAATATATTAGAACATCCATAGATAAAGTACTAATATCCACATTAAAAACTGTTGACTAACTGTACAGATTTCTCCGGAAAATAATCAATTGATGGAGAGAAAATCATCAATTGGGCAAATCCAACCGCCACAATGCGGCAACTTGATCACTGTTCTGAGCATCGACAGTGGAGGTATTAGAGGGATTATTCCGGCCACCATCCTTGCTTTTCTCGAAACTCAACTTCAGGTGATTTCTACTCTAAGTATTTAACGTCATTCTTTCCTTCAGTCTTATTTTACCAGTCACTATATGTTATATTTAAACGGGCGACGATGTGAACTACAAAGTTGTAAATTAATTTGTTAATTGCATTTGCTCAAGTGAAACTAAAGTAAGTTTTTTTGAATAAATTAAACAAACTAGGAACTAGATGGGAAGAAGCAAGACTTGCAGATTACTTTGACGTCATAGCCGGAACGAGCACCGGCAGCCTGGTTACCGCCATGCTAACAGCTCCGGTTGGAAACAGTCGCCCTCTTTATGCTGCCAAAGACATTACTACGCCTTTCTACATACAAAATTGTCCAAAAATATTCCCTCAAATACGGTATCTTCCTCGATTAATTATATCCTACTCAGTTAAGGTTTTCACTAAATATTTTTTACTGGAATTATCCAAATTCCTTTGTATAGTAATGGAGTCTTGCCTCGAATGAGCAGAAAATTCAATTTAAGAGGGCAAAAAATATGATGGAAAGTAGCTCCACAATCTCGTGAAAGAAACATTAAGAGAGACACGTTTGAGTTCAACCATTACCAATGTCGTTATTCCAGCTTTTGATATCACCAATATGCAGCCCACAATTTTCTCTACTTATGAGGCTAATACGTTCTCTCAAGTCTCATAGCTAGTCTATTTTGATTTTTTTTTGTTCCTAATAACATATGTTAATCCATCCATTAATTAGCTTAATACTTCCTTTGTCTCATAGTGACAAATTAATTCTTCAACGACTACATTCGTCCGTTTGGTCTTAGTAGTCATAAAAATTCAGCTGAATAGATAATGCAAATTTTATGGATTCCAATTTTGTAAACTTAGTTGTTGAGATCATTGTTTATTACTCCTTCCGTCCCACAAAAATAGTCCAGTTTAATAAAAAAGTTTGTCCTAAAACAATAGTCTAGTTTCACAAAAGTCAAAATTAATTGAATTGAAATGCCTTAAATATCCAAAAGAGTTGTGGTAAGGAAAATAAGGTTCACTTCCTTTGATTTTCATTTTTTTTAGTTTTCTCCTATTTTTTCAAATGATTATATCTTTTAATACATGAATAATTAAAAAATGTGTTATATATCAAATTAATCTATGTAACGAGATCTTTCCATCAAAATCCATTATCAATATTTTTTTTGAGATAAAAATTTTGATCAAATTTAAGCTATAAAATAAATGTATATGTAGTTAACTTTTATAGAAATAACTAGAAGGGGCATTAGTGGAAGTTAGGGACATAAAATGAGTTGTACATTTAGTGTATTAACCAAATTAAAAAAGTTATAAATTTTCAAATTGAACTATTTTTCTGGGACGGTAGGAATATTTTGAGACGGATCGAGGAGGAATTAAACCTTGTTTCATGATTCAGGCCAGATATTCCATGTTGTGATGCTAAGCTGTCTGACATTTGCATAAGCACAAGTGTTTACCTCCCCATCGTTTTAACACGCAAGATTCTAAAGGAAATGTCCGGGAGCACAATCTAATCGACGGTGGTGTCTCAGCCAACAACCCGGTAATCCATCATTATAATATTAATTATTTATCCGTAGACCCAAAATTAATAAAGTCCTTTTTATGAGAAAATTAATCTACAGTTAATATATCTTCCTTTTTAGTGTAATCAACCAATAGGGATTAATCTTAGCGATTTTTTTCCCATATATATATATATATATATTTCTCTCTCCCAAAAAATTAATATCTTTTTTTAAATTGTATAAGGTTTGTACAACTTAACGTGGTGCATCTGCATTGAAGATATACTCACTTTCTTTTATACTATTTGGGATGTATTAATACATATCTTATCTGCATTTATTGATTATCCCAGGCACTGGTAGCAATGAGCTTAGAAACGAATCAAATATGTGACAAGAATTCCTTACCAATTACCAACCCGTAGATTTTGGTCGTTTCCTAGTCATTTCAATTGGAACAGGAGCCCAATAGTTGGACAAGAAATACAATAGTAACATTGCAGCTAAATGTGGCATCTTAGATTGGGTATATTATGAAGGTTCCACTGATTCCCTAATAGAGGTCTTCACTCAGTCAAGTGCAGATATGGTTGACTTTCACAATTCCGTGTTTTTCCGAGCTCTTCATTCCGAAAATAATTACCTTCGTATCCAAGTAAGTTCGTACATAACATGAAAAAGTTTTAACAGAACTCTTATTTTGGTACCAAAAAAACATATTAAAAGAATGTAGAAAAGAATTTTGTTGACAAGATTATACATCCAAAATTAATAACAGATTATCGTATCAATTGGATCAGGATGATATACGGTAGTCGCAAATGAGGTGTTCGACGGACATTGCGACGAAAGAAAATATGGAAAAACTAGTCACAGTCGGCGAGAAACTACTGAAGAAGCCGGTGTCGAGGGTAAATTTGACGACGGGAATGACTGAACCAGTTGAACATTGTGGTACAAATGAGGATGCCCTAAGAAGATTTGCAAGGCTGCTATCAAACGAAAAAAGGCTTCGAGATTTAAGGTCCAACTCAAGGGCAAACGCAATGATTAAAGTACAAAAGTAAATTTAATTTCTCTTATATCTTATAAGAGTGACTTATATATAATAGAATTTTTCTCTGTTCTAAAATTATAATCCAGTTTAAATTTTTATTTTTAGTTTAATTTATACTAAAAATAAATATCTAAACTAGATAATAATTTCGGAATGGAGAGAAAGTACTAGTTGTATCTCCTAAATAGTGACAAGTTACAGTATTTTTCTTATTCAACATTTAACCAAAAAAAAAAAAGAAAAAAAAAGAACGGTTCAAATTATGGCTATGACTCTCTAGACTGGGTCTACGTTCATTGTTTCCATACCACGTATGCGTCCTCTTCACTGTTGAAGCGTTTGGATTTGTTGAGTTGTATTCTTTCTCACTTTAAATAAAAGTCCTGCTTGTTGAAAGAAAATAATTATACTCCTCAAGAAAATTTGAATGCTGGTTTACGAGGATACGAAAATAATGGAAACCAAAGGCAGGCCGCCATTGAAGAAGTTTTTTGTTTTGTTTTGTTAATTAAGAAACAACTATCTACATATTGATATTAATTCATGTACATGTGTCATTGTCTTTTTATGTCTTTTGGTGCCAACCATCATCACCTATGGGTTCATTGGATCTTGAGGGAGTCGAGTTTTACGTTGTGTTGTAGTCAACTGCCATCGGAATATATTAGCTAGCAGAAAAAAGCGCGCGAGCTAAAATGTATCGATCAAATTGTACTAACTGTTTTTCTGTCCCAAAAAAATTGTCTTGTTAAATACGTTTGTATAACAAACATTGATAATTATTTTTAGATAGAGAAAATAATACACTTGTAGATTGGGATATGCAAGAATTGAATGAAATTTAAGGCCAGGTAACAACATTTTTGCATTTTTAGGCTACCTTACATGTTTTTACGCTATTAGTTTTTTCCGTAATTTCGTACTTCTTCCGCTACAAAGTTATCTAATCGTACATGTACATCCCAATCTACAAAATTAGAACTAAAACACTACACAATCGGGAATTTTATGGAGATAGAAAATATAAGAAACATAATCTTTGATCGAAGGTTCGATACAAGGTTCTTTCAATCGGAAAAAGAAGTTTAAAAGAAAAAAAAAAAAAAAAGACGAAGAAGAAAAAAGAAACTTTCATTTACTTGGACTTCTTGCCAGGGGAATGGGGTTGTGCAAAGCCAAAAAGTCAAGAGATAAGGAGAGGTTTACGATATGTATACATAATATTGATTAAACCATTCATCTATTTTGCTGTTCCTTTTATTAAGTTTTCACCAATGTGTCCAACTCATAAGTCCTTGCGGTTGAATTTTTGCAGCAACCCAATTATTCGAGTGTTACCTTCTTTAATTAAGCATATCAGCTTGTGCCAACTAGCTAGCTTCTTGTTTGATTTTTCAAAGATGGTGCCCAAATTTTGCCATTTTGCATCCGTATCACTTTCATCGAAAAGAAATATCTTTGAATTGGAATATAATTGTCATATTGAACGCTAAATTCCTCTTATTTAAAGTGTTAGAGAAGATTCGATTCGCTCAGTAGTATATACATATTTCTTTTTCACCATTCCCCTTTGAACTTGTAACTTATATCGCTACTTCATAATGAAAGAAAAGTGAAAATTTTGTTAATACTATTGCCCTCAGCCTTAGAAATGTCACCGATAAAGTTTTATTTTTTTTATTTTTCTTCATAGGAAGGAAAGTGTGCAGAACACCACCAAGAAGAAGAGTTAACAGCACATATATTTTGCCTTATTCGGAGAACCAAGGACTGTTACAATTTGTAACATTAGGGGAATAATAATAATAATAAAAAGAATTACAACATGAATTTCCTTTTATTTTTCAACTCGGAGAAAACCTAATTACACAAACAAAAAGCTCAATCAATGGGAACTTCACGCAGATCTTGACTTGTGCACATTTGGTGACATAATATCACGAAGTCGCTTCTCCTGTGACAATGTTTGCGCCAACCTACACCATTCCAGGAAATCAATCAATTTACGTAACTCTAAATTGCATTTTCTTTTTCTTTTTTTTTTTAAATCGTCAGTATAAAAAGGAATTTTGTACCATCTATGCCTTTTTAATTAACCATCCTAAATTATTAAAATGAGATGAAAAGAATATTTAATAAAAATTAGTGTATACCTTTTGAGAGCATCCTCATTAGTTCCTTTGTCCAACACTTGACAAATACCAGTTTGCAAGTTCGTTTTACTGACTGGTTTCTTCAACAGTTTCTCCCCAACTTGAACAAGATTTTCCAGATTTTCCTTTGTAGCAACATCCACCGAAGCCAAATCTCCAGTCAAAGTGTCATCCTACATACAATTATACATAGTTTATTAATTCTTGAGTGAGACAATGACATATATACATGATTTCACATAACTGAAAAATATAATATTCAACTCATCAACAATTCAACTTGTCAAGTATCTTGACTTTTCTACTCTTAATGTTCATACGTGCCCATCAATAATTAGAACATAAAATATCTCAATGTGTTTAGGAAAAAATGATATGGCGTGCTTACTTGGATTCTAAGATAATTGTCTTCGGATTGAAGGGCTTGAAAAATGGTGGAAAGATGAAAATCAACCATATCACTACTTGCTTGCATAAATGCATCAATCAATGGAGTCGAACCGCCATTGGTCAACCAACCAACAATACCCCATTTAGCAGCTAGCTCCGCATGATATTTGCCTTCACCTTGGGACGTCCCAGTACCCAAAGACAACACAACGAACTTATTGTATTCCAGTGGATGCATGGCAAAGAAATCCGTGTTTCCCCTGCTTACTTCCTTTGTCACTTCATTTATAGCCACTAGGGCCTGAAAAAGTCAATCACAATAAGTCAAATCATTAATCACGTACGCCTCCTAGAATAATTGTCTAATTTTTTTTTATTTTTCGTATAATTTGTACTAATACTGTAAATTTAATTCAGACCAGAAAACCATTTCAGGTTGGGTGGTCAATCATTTAGAAAGCAATTTAATGTAAGTACCGGATTGTTGGCGGCGACACCACCGTCGATGAGATTAAACCGTCTCTCGTTACCATCGGAATCTCCGGTTTTGAAGTAATGACCGGGAAGATACGTGGGCGCGGCTGAGGTTCCTATACATATGTCTCTTAGGTTGGCATCTAGACTTGGGTGATGCTTCACCTGTACAGTAACAATAATATTAAAAGAGGTTGATAATAAAGTCCTAATGAATTAAAAACTAAATAGGAAATCAAAAGAAAATTTTGTTTGGATTTGTTAAACATACCGCGTAGCTGGAAAAGACCGTGGGCTGAAGTAATTTGATGTCGAAAGTTGGGATCACAACGTTGGTTAAGGTTTCGTGTAACTTAATATCACCAAGCTTTTCATGAAGAAGTTCATGGAGATATTTGCCATCGTATTTAGGTCCTGATATGGCTTTCACAATTTTCTCAGCCGATCCGGGTAAATAATTGTAACTGATGAATCATAAAAACAAAAAATAAATGTCAGCACTAAACAAACAAAACAGGTATTGATCATAACAAAGATATAAAGGTAGGTAATTTACTGCTCTTGTGGGAAGATTTTGGGGCAATGTTCAAGATAGAAATCCTTGATATCTTTGGCAGAAAAAAGTGGCCGGTTGTTCTCGTCCGGAGCAGTAAGCATTGCGGTGACTAAACCACCGGTACTTGTGCCGGAAATGACATCAAAGTAGTCTGCGAGCCGGACTTGTTCCCCATCCAATTTCTGTAACAAAATCAAAACAAAAAACAATGAATTTTGGATCATCATATTTACAACGAAACATTCTTGTCATCAAATTTTAGGGATGTACGAAAAAGGTTTTGATGAAAAAAAAAAAAAAAAAATTAACCTGAAGCTCAGACTCTAAAAATCCAAGAATGACTCCGGGAATGAGTCCTCTAATGCCTCCACCATCAATGCTCAATATGGTGATAGATTTTCCATAAGTTGGAGGCTGTATAACGTTGATAGAAGCTGGTGCCATTCCATTTAATGCCATTTTAGCTGCTTCTTTTGGTGAAAAATGCGAACAAAAAGATGGCTATATGTAACAAAGATGAAGAAACCGGAGCAAAATCACACTTTTTGAATGTTTGAAGATGATTAAGTAATTAAGGAAAATGGTATCTGAATATAATTTGAAACTCTTGGAGAAGAAATGAAGGGTATTGGGAAGTTTTAAGCTCAAGTGATTATTGAATGGAGTGGAGATATTATTAGGGGTATATATATATAGGGGTTTAAGAACACAGAAAAGCAGCCCAAGTGTTAATTATTAGTTTTATCTTTTAATTTAATAAATTGGTTTGTTGACTTGACTTGTCAATTGGACCAATTTAGTCAGCCGACTGGAATTGGGATGTAATTGACAAATGAAATCATGAGGGAAAGAGGAATTTGGGACGCGTTCGTTTGGAGGGGTTTGAACTTTGAAAGAAAGGTCAAGTTGGAAAGAAAAAAAAAAGTAATTTTAGAATTGCCACTATAGCTAGTAATTTCTTCTGGGGGCATAATTCAAAGGAAGTATATGTGTCTCTTTTTTTACAGTGTACTTATCAAGTAGTATAACCACGTACTCGTCAAATAATTACAGATCATCTGGGAAAAAGCAGTTTATCTAATCGTTGGAATTTTTAATTTGTTACCGTCAGTGGAAAAGTTGTCCAAATTATAAATTCAGTTTCTACAATAAGGGGAAATTTCGGGACCTCAATTTCTTTGTGATTTTGAAATTCCCTACCAAATTAGTGCTCCCTCATGTTTATTTTTCTTCGTTTGTTCGCTTTAGGTTTTGTACATTTGAGTTATAGTCTTTTTTTTTTTTTTTACCTTTAGATAAATGTCCAATCACTTTATCTCTAAACTTTGGTACGTATGTTGATTTAAAATATGGTATTGGAAGGGAGAAAAAGAAAATTAATTAATACAGTCTTGAAAGTATATAGCCACATACCGGAAAAACAAAACAAATATATGATCAGAACCTTGTATTTTCCTAGAACAAAAAAAAAGGTAACCGAAATAGATAAAGAAATTGAGCTCGGTCAAATGAACTAGAGAATTATTTATCAATATTGCTTACTGATGATGACACACCTCCTTCAAATACGTAGTTGAACTTCGAAGCATTTTCCTGCTAGGCTGTTACTTAATCTTAGGTTCATTTTGGATCAAACCATGATTGAATATCTCGTTGCGGACAAAATTCATTGCCTTTAAAAGTAGGTAGTTGGCCAGGGGTGGCAGATGTACGTACGTGTAGTCTATTGCATCACTATCTTGATCTTAGTTTAGAAGAACTATGAATAATTCATTAGATTTCATAAGGCATAAAATCTGCGATCCAACATATGATCTACTACTCAACATATGACAGAACCTTGTATTTTCCTAAAATAATATTCTCTTTACATTTCATTGATTCTACCGGTTAGTATTTGTTTGTCTAATTATTTTTTTTTATTAACGGACTATCAAAATATTTTTATGGTATACAAGAGAAGTAACAATTAACCGGTAGCTAAACAGAAGTTGAACATAATTTACTAATCACTAATTATAACTTGTCTGCCACTATTAAACATAGTTTAAAGAACCCAACAGTTTTTTTTTCCCCCCCAATTTGCAACAGAAAGCCGCCAGTAATTCAAGTTAATTTCAAGATTAAATCATAAACAATTAATGTTGATATGAATTTAATCATGTGTGTCATTGTCTTCTTTTGTAGGTATCCACAACTACCCTCGTCCTCACGGTAAACAAATCAGCACAAATCAGCCCATTTGTGCCTAGCATTATCATCCTGCGATTCATTGAAGCTGGCTATGATCAGTATGTATGGTCAACTGTAGATGATAGGACTTTTAATGTTTTAATTATCGAAGGCCGTCTATCATGAAAAACGATTTATAGGTATTCTGAAAATATATAGTAATTAGGTGCTTGCCGGGCAACCCATTTAGAACATTATATTTTAAAATTAAATATACAAATGGTAAAAGTATTTTTCAACTTTAACTCAACTTGTTATACTTTAAATTTTGGATATAATAAAAGAATCATTTATTTATATCATTAATGTCTTATTCTATTAGTATTAATTGATTGATTATAATTACGGACAAGGAAAGTTAACACAACTAAAGATTGTGGAATTAATTTTTTTCACAAAACTACGTAGTTTTTATTAGGAGGAAAACGTATGCATAAGAATGCGACACGTCAACCTTTTTTTTTTCTCTTGGACTATTATTTTAATAGGATATATATAGATTGATGTGACTTCTACACAATTATAAAATAAAATAATACTCTTTCTGTTCCAAAATTATTGTCCGTTTTGAACTTTCACTTTTAATTCAATCAGTACTAAAGATAAAAATCTAAACTGGACAATAATTTTAGAATTGATAAAGTATATTCTTAATTCATTAGTAATTAATAAAAGTAAAATTTCAAGATTTTGTAGTTTCATACATTATACTCATTAATTATTATTTTTTGCTAGTTTATTCGGCTATTATATAACGTTTGATAAAGTGGGTACGAATGAGTGCACTTAAAGCAAGCTTTCTTAATTCTTTAATTGGTATCAAGTGGGATACGCAGACAGCGATTAATGGAACACTACAACGTTTCCAACGTTTCCGTTCTGAAGCAGAAAAGTAGAAAATAAACTGAAAAATGTCACACAAATGACCAACTTGGCAACTCGCCATGTGCCGATCAATGAAATTTGGCAATGGAAGTATGAAACCAAAAAGGGCTGATGGATCCACAGTCTAAGTTCTTACTCTTCCAAATGACAGTGAATGAGAAATTAGAGATGTTCATATTATCTAGTTTAGTTTGTGGAGTATAAAACACTGAACGCTAAAAATATTACAATTAATTGGAAAGTTAATAGTTTTGTCCGTTTTAAGGGAGTTAATTAACTAGTAACATGTGCGATTTAGAGAATGAATGAATATATATATATATATATATATTCATTTAACGCGTGTTATTATTTTATTTGACAAAATAAATTTACTTTGTCTATCAATTTTTTAATACTAATCTATTTATACCTATTGAAAGCAGCTGTCACAAAAGCCATGTGACAGCTCGACAAAAAAAAAAAAAAATTCCCGTCTAAACTCTACAAAAGTCACGTGGCAGTTGCTTTCAAGAGTTGGAAGGAATGCCATAATTTTAAGCATCTATTTAAAATTACCATAGTAGATTAATTTAATTTTAAGGGTCAATTAATTTTAGGCATCTATGTTTGGAAGTAAATATTAGAATAAAAATTGACAAGGATTGGCGTTATTTTATCTTTTGATTTTTTTTTTGTAATATTTTTTTATCATAAGAAAATATTTTTTTCTTTCTATTTTACATACTATTTTTTAAAACATGTTAAACAGTGCCCGGACAGTTGGGCTGATAAACTAGTTACTAATGACATGCTCTAAAGAGACTAGTAACACAAACCTTTGGTGTGAAGTGCGCTGAAAAAGGATCTTAAAAGGTAAGAATATTCCCTTGTGAAGCCGATGCATGATGTATCAATGCCGGCTATTTGACTTTTCTTAATGAAATAACCATTGCACGTATTTTTGTTTAGCGCATCTTGTCTTCAAGACGAAATATACAAGTGCATCGTGCCCTGGTGGTTTTCATAATCTGTGTGATCTATAAAAAAAAAAAAAAAACCGTGCTCGAAATATAATGAAATCAGTGTATTCTATCTACGTACATAACATATTAGTTTGATGCTTTAGGTTTTTTCTCCTTTTTTGTACTTTAAAAAAAAAAAAGAAAAGAAAACAAGCCTAAAACTCATTTTACGTTGTTATATCTTCTTTTCTCGATACACACATGAGATTATAGTTGAACTGTTGAAGACTGTACAGAAACTCAAAAGGAAGAGAATTGCTTGCTATCGATCTCGTAAAACTGAATGAATTACTGGAATGGTAAAGACCTTGAAAAATTAAAATCACAAATAAATTACATCATTAGGACAAATAACTACTTTTTACAATAATGAAAGAAAAAAGAAAGAATACAAACCTTTTTTTTTCGTAGCTATGTGTCTCTAGGAAATCTTACTCCTTATTTCAATTCATTTGTAAATACCAACAATACAACAATAGGCTAAATTAAATAAAAATTCATGATCGACTAATTTTGCACGTGTGGGGACTTAATATCACGAAGCCGCTTCTCATTCGATAACGTTTTTGCCAACCTAAAATATCAAAAAAAAATTTAACCAGTTAAATTTTCGTCACTATTAAATTGTTAAAGCATGCCAATTCTTTTTTTTTTTCTTTTTTTCCTTATTTGGAGTGTATATGTATATATGTACCTTATGAGGGCCTCCTCATTAGTTCCCTTATTCAACAGTTGGAAAACACCAGTTTGCAAGTTAACACTACTAACTGGTTTCTTCAACAATTTCTCCCCAACTTCAACAAGGCTTGCAAGATTTTCCTTTGTAGCAATATCTACTGACGATAAATCCCCAGTCAAAGTGTCATCCTGCGGAAAAGAGGGAAAAAAAACAAAAAAAAAAAGAGGGAAAAAAAATTCATTAGAGTGTTAACTCGTTCTATAGTTGACTTGACCATGGCAAACAAGTTGCTTTATATTGACATTTTCTTCATTAACAATTCAAAATACGCTAAACCAATAATTAATAAAGTGGATATGGTCACATACTTGGATTCTAAGATAATTGTCTTCAGATTGAAGGGCTTGAAAAATGGTCGAGAGATGGAAATCGACCATATCACTACTTGCTTGAAAGAATGCGTCAGTGAGAGGAGTTGAACCGCCACTAGTCAACCAACCCAAAATGCCCCATTTCGCTGCTTGATCTGCATCGTATTTTCCCTCTTCTTTAGCCGTACCGGTACCCAAAGATAGAACGATGATCCGATTATATTCCAATGGATGCATAGCAAAGAAATCGCTGTTTCCTTTGCTTACTTCCCTTGTCACTTCATTTATAGCCACAAGAGCCTGGAATTTAAAGTTTGTTAATAGTTAGTATTCATCATCATTAATCATCGATATGGTTTTCCACAATGACTTAAAACAATTTGCCAGTTTCGATATTCATTTTGTAGTTGAAATTGTAGTAACTAAAAATGAAAATCTAAACTAACTGAAGACGGAAAAAGTAATGTTTTAGCAAGAAAAAAAGATTATATATACCGGATTGTTGGCGGCGACACCACCATCGATGAGATTAAAATGTCTCTCGTCCCCATCGGAATCTTCGGTTTTGAAGTGATGAGCAGGAAGATAAGTGGGAGCAGCTGAGGTTCCTATGCATATGTCACGTAGGTTGGCATCATAACTTGGATGTTCCTTAATCTTTGGAAAAAAAAAACCCCCACAAAAACGGTCTAATTAATTAAACATTAACACATATATATAAAAAGGGAAAAAAAATTAACATGGTGGCAAATATACCATATAGCTTGAAAAGATTGTGGGTTGGAGTAATTTGATGTCAAACGTTGGGATAACAATGTTGGTTAAGGTTTGGTGTAACTTCGTGTCTCCAAGTTTTTCCTTTAGAAGATTGTGGAGATATTTGCCATCGTATTTAGGTCCTGATACAGCTTTTACTATCTTTTCTGCCGCTCCGGGTAGATAATTGTAACTGTCCATTAACCAAAATAAATGATGGATGTCAAGACTAAATCCAAAAAAAAAAAAAAAAATCATGATGATTTGTTAACAAAATAAGGTACTTACTGCTCTTGGGGGAAGATCTTGGGGCAATGTTCAAGATAGAAATCCTTGATATCTTTGGCTGAAAATAGAGGACGATTCTCCTTGTTTGGAGCAGCGAGCATTGCCGTGACTAGGCCGCCGGTACTTGTACCGGAAATGACGTCGAAGTAGTCGGCGAGTCGTGCATCTTTACCGTCCAATTTCTGAATTTATAACAACATTAGAACAAAAAACAATGAATTTTAAATCCTGTAATTTTCATATTAATTCCAAAATGATTATCACGATCGTTTGAAAACCTGAAGTTCAGACTCCAAAAATCCAAGGATGACTCCGGGAATGATTCCTCTAATCCCTCCACCATCAATGCTCAATATGGTGATTGACTTCCCGTAAGTTGGAGGCTGAAGAGAGCTGACTGATCTTGAGAGTGACATAGTGAATTTGTGAAAATTAGCTAGGTGAAAAAATGAAACCTACAATGATGAACAAATCAAAGGGTTTTGCTAAAATGAATGAATGATGCTAAGCAATAGGAAGAAAGGGTTTTTCTTAACTTTTTGGTGCTTTGTCAGTGAAGATATTTGGGGGTATATATAGTGCTAAATTAGAAAAAAAAAATGCGAAAAAACTTATTTAGTTTGATCTCTTGGATTGATTTATGTGAACTTCCCTACATAAATTCGCTTGACTTGTCAAATGGACCAATTCGTTTGGTTTGAATTAATGTCGATATTTTCTAATAATTAATCTTTTGTCCCTAAGTAAGAAATTTCGTAACTTTGTGTTTCCCTGGACGCGTCCGCTATGGGGTTTTGATGGTTGAAGGATCCGTCAATCTGAGGGGGCAAAAAAGAAAAATCAACATAATTTAGAAATGCCACCAGTTTACAAAATATTCAAGCAACTCGTTCCACTGTTCTTATCATCATAAATAGTATTAATTATTGACTTCAATTTAAAAATAAAAAATAAAAGTTACGAAGGTCAAGTATTATTCTAGGAAGACTTATCTTATTTACCGACTTGTTGGATATGTTTTACGTTTCAGTACTATCGACGAGGTTAAGTAATCACAGAAGTTAATCTCTTTTCTCCCAAATTTTATTTTATTAATTCCATACGTACGCTTTACCTCCTGAAAACCTATACAGATTCCAAGCAAAATACATTTGCACAATGGTTTCGGACATCAGCAAGTATGTCATTCAACCGAAAAATGTATGATATTCTCCTTTGGTAAAAATCTATGATAGGTAAGTAGATATATAAAATCAGTCTACCTTGATTGAACGGGAATGCAGTTATATACTCCCTCCAGCCCTTATTATAAGGCATTTTAACTTTTTTCTAGGTTTAACATAATACAAATTTTTAATCGACGAATTTTTCGTCGATTAAAAATGTATACTATGTTAAATTTAGGACAAATCAAAATGCCTTAATGAACCGGAGGGAGTATGTTATATTCGCGTTTAGAATAATATCGTGGGTCCCTTAAAAAAATTACAAAGAGGTAAACCTGCAGCAAAAAAAAAAGAAATGAATCAGTAATTGAGTGATCAACAAGGGAGGGGCAGCCAGCAAAGAAATTGACTTGATCAAAATGCGTGAAGTAGTGTTTGGCCAATGAACTTGAGAAGCCAAGTCATTAAGGATAACGACGTTTATCTTAAGGTTATTCATGATGATCCTAAGAACATTACGTAGTATACAAAATTTTCATGTATAAATAATAGTAAATTATTTAAATTGTCGATGTGATGTTTACCCAGCTAACGAAATCCATTTCGCACGATACATGTACAAGTACGACAGTACAAACCTAAGCTTTATGGTGTCTATATTGACTTGAATTTTATATATGCTTTCAACGTAATGTGATATGAACACCCAGAAGGGTGGGGAAAAAAAAACCCTTTTATTTCTGAAAAAAAATATATTATTACCGACAGCTGAACACAAATTGTTGATATTTTACTTGTGATTTTACTAGTCTATCACGAAGGATTAATAATTAATTGAAGTTAAGGATTACTTTGTTTATATTTGTGGCTATTCAGAGAATGTAACGGCCCATCGAGCTAGAGCCGCCTCTGGTTGAGTTTATTTAAAGAAACGAGTAGCTATATTAATTAATGCAAGTGCCAAAATTGTTTATACACGGATTCATATTGGGGCTGGAATGGTGTACTAGTTGCTCTTATGTAATTTGTAACTGTGACGAAGACGAAAATTCAAACTGGATAATTATTTTATTACGGAGATCGAGTAAGTGTTGATGTGTGGTTGTTGTGTTTAGTAAGTAAGCTTTCTTATCAAGTGGGGGATATACGTACAGAAAGATGATTGATCAGCCATAGTGAAACTAAAGTCTGAACCCAGGACAAACTTTTCCTCGTAAATTAATTAGTATAGCTCCCTTCGTAGTGGCATTCCACCTCCTCCCAAAAATAAATATGTAAGAAAAGCACAATTATAATAAGATGATGAAATTGTAACTTCTTTTTTTTTTTTGAAAAAAAAAGGAAATGAAATGTTCATTGTAAGGACGGAAATAAAATTAAAACATAATTTATCAAGTCCCTTAGATTAGTTTTGATATATAACTATGTCAACGCTCCATGGGTTTAGAATTTTCGATATAATCTATGGGAGAAGAGAGTATTTTTGTAAAGAGAAAATAACTGAAGTAAAAAGAACTACTAATCCAAAATTTAAAAGCCTGAAATTTGAAGTGAACAGCAGAAAAAGGTAGATTCGACTTGATTATGAGCATTGACTTGACCAGGTTCAAGACGGATCAATACTATACCAACTTCTAATTATTCTTTTCATTTCAAAATAAGTGTCATCCTATACTTTGCGCATAGTTTAAGAAATTCTTAAATAGGGTAGCAAAATTATTTGAATATCCTCAACCAACCCCATTAAAAAAATGTTCAATAGTATTAATTCTTTTGAAGGTAATTTTGAAATTTTTTGACAAAAGTGCATTGAAATATGAAAACGACACTTATTTTGAAATTTTTCTATTTTGCTAAAACGACACTTATTTTGGAACGGCTGGAGTACCATTTAGCTCTTTCTGACCTTTCTACTTTATTGCTTTGTTTTGTGATTTTTGCATCCATCATACTTTATCTTTCAATCAACGATGAAGATTTGCCTTAGAAGAGGGAAAAAAAAAAAAAAACCGAATTACATAAGAAAAAATAAGTGAATTACATCTTCAAATGTCGGATCCTTATTTTAGATTTCTTCTTCTTTATGACGCTCACGAAGTGTTGTAAGGAGTACATTCCATATTCGGACTAACATATTCATGCGTTTGATTTCATCATGTATTCTTTGTAGAGTCTCTTTTACACACGTTATATTTAGGCATAATGGTTGAAAAATGAAAACCATAGAACTGAAGAAGCACCACGATTACAAAAAAAGAGTGGCAATTGATTACATAAATTAATTAACGAGTGAGAGTAATAGTTGAAATTAGATTGATATTTTTTATTTAAGTTAAAGTTGTAAAAGTACATTAGAAAATGTATAGGTAAACATGAATTAATTATCTGAATTGTTACTAACTTTTGAAACTTTTCAGAAAGGAAAGTGAGTCTATCAAATTGAAATAGATGAAATATGTATTTTTTTATACTCATTTAAAGAATTTAGTATTAATTTCCATTTTTTTCAAAACTCAATATTTGTTTTTCAATGTTAGAATTAAATACGAATTTTATCAAAATCTGTAGAAATTACTTTAAAAAAAGTTTCGACAACAACTTGACATTCAGACTCGCGAGGTTTGACTTAGACCTGGTTAAAGGTTGGTCATAGAAACCAACTTCCCAAAGTTATATAATCCGGTTGCATGTGACAACAAACGCATAACTTAAATTGTAAACTTTTTTAAGCAAATTGGATCTTAGCTCTTTGTCTGACTTTTCTGCAATTTTTGGAAAAAAATATTTCATATATATGTATATATATATCTATCCATTTAGATTTTTGACTTCCTTTTTTTAAATAAATAACACAAAAAACAAACAAGAAGAAACCAAATTCCGGGTAAAAAAAGGAATTCCATGAAACGTACGAAATGTCCTTGATGAGTTGGGTTTGGCCCTTTTCCCCTCCTAAACCAACCTACCGCGTCTTCCTTTTTTCCTGAACCAATAATAACTCAATTGTCTCAAAAAAAAAAAACTATTTGTTGAATTAAATTAATAGGACGGAATTTATATATGTTCATAATTTTATACTTCTAACAGTAGTTTACTATGAAGTTTGGAAGATTTTTTTCCCCTTTCGAAGAGCCTCCACGTACTCTTCCACAAGTAAAATTGGCATTGGTTAAAACCCAATTGAAAATGCACCACGATTACAGGGGAAAAAAAAACAAAGATGAAAAGGCTATTAAAACGTGAACTAAGGACTAGCTTATGATGAGTAAAAATTGTTACATCTCATTAACGTGTTCACTGTGTGTATGTTTTTGGCTTTTTGCTAATATTAAATATCGTAGACAATATAAATTAGTTAATTCAGAAAAGGAAGAAATAACTTTTAACCGAAAAAAAGGAAGAATAACTCAAATTTACTGCTCCCTTAAAACTTATTAATTAATGAATGGTGCAAGAGTTACAAAAAGTCAAAGCACATATACATTGCTTTATTATTTGTGGAAAAAGAATTACAAAATGAACGAATGAAAAGAATCTTATTGGCTACTTGCCCACATGGGTACTCTAGTAATTATTTTCGTAGAAATTTTGCACTTGCAAATAATAGCTCTAAACAAAAATAAACTAAATCAGTTCTTGGCCGACTTGTGCACGTTGGGTGACATCACATCACGAAGGCGCTTCTCATCTGATAGAGTTTTCGCCAACCTAAATAATCACCAAACAAAAAAAAAAAAAAAGAAACACAAAATATTAATAAATTCAGATTACTCGAGTAGAAAGTTATTTGTAAATAACGAAATGATAAGTTTTACGATTAAAATCAAAGAGAATTGGGTGATTAATTACTTTCTGAGGGCATCCTCGTTGGTTCCTTGATTTATTACTTCACAAATTCCAGTTTGTAAGTTCACCCTAGTAATTGGTTTCTTCAACAATTGTTCCCCAACTCGAACAAGACCATCTAAGTTCTCCTTTGTAGCAACATCCACAGAAGACAAATCTCCACTTAATGTATCATCCTGCAAAAGAATGAATCGCATTTAATATATTCATTCTCTTAACAATATTAATTAAGGCTATTATTATCAATAAACCAATGGATATAATTAGTCCATATATACCTGGATTCTAAGATAATTATGTTCTGATTGAAGAGCTTGGAAAATAGTGGAAAGGTGAAAATCCACCATATCGCTACTCGCTTGACTGAATACATCAATCAATGGAGTCGAACCGCCATTGGTCAACCAACCCAAAATTCCCCATTTGGCTGCTTGATTTGCATCGTATTTCCCTTCTTCTTTGGCGGTACCCGTTCCCAAGGACAAAACTATGAACCGGCTGTATTCTAACGGATGCATTTTTGAAGAGAAATCGGCACTTCCTCCGGTTACTTCCTTGGTCACTTGGTTGATAGCCACTAAAGCCGGATTATTGGCAGCGACACCACCGTCGACGAGATTAAATTGGCGAGAGCTGCCATCGGAATCATGGGTTTCGAAGTAATGGGCCGGAAGATAAGTCGGAGCTGCTGAGGTTCCAATGCATATGTCTCTTAGGTTTGCATCTAGACTTGGATGATCCTTAACCTAAAATGTATACCAAAAAAGAAAAAAGGCCATTTTTGTTAAATCATTGAAAATGAAAAAATTATATATATATTTAGGGTGTATAAAAAAAATGTTGGATCCATTTCGACGTACCGCATAGCTTGAAAAGATTGTAGGCTGAAGTAATTTGATGTCAAAAGTTGGGATGACAACGTTGGTTAAAGTTTGATGCAACTTAGTATCACCAAGCTTTTCGTGAAGAAGGTTATGGAGATATTTGCCATCGTATTTAGGTCCGGTGACGGCTTTCACTATTTTTTCAGCAGATCCGGGTAGATAATGATAACTAGAAAGAAACAAAATGAATGCCAGCACCAAAGATAAGTGAAATGAACTCATGCATGTAGAATGTTGGGAGAACTATAACTAATGAAGTATACCTTTCTTGTGGGAAGATCTTGGGACAATGTTCAAGGTAGAAATCCTTGATATCTTTAGCAGAAAAGAGGGGTCGGTTGTCATTGTTTGGAGCAGAAAGCATGGCGGTGACTAAACCGCCGGTACTTGTACCGGAGATGACATCGAAGTAGTCGGCAAGTCGTGCGTCTTGACCATCCAATTTCTAAACCAAATCAAACAAAATAAAGAATTTTTAGACGTCAATGCAGTTTATAACCAAACTATTAACGTTATTGCAAAACGAATGCTGAAATATAAGTTTAGAAATGTAAGGTAGGATCAAAACCTGAAGTTCAGACTCTAAAAACCCTAGGATGACTCCAGGGATGATTCCTCTAATGCCTCCACCATCAATGCTCAAAACGGTGACGGACTTCCCGTAGGTTGGGGGCTGCAAAGCTGTTGGTCTTGGAGTGAAAACCATTTTAGTTTTGTTGTGGAAAAAAAAAAAAAAAAAAACTCACAAACTGAGAGAAGATTGATGAAAGAAATGCGAATATAGGGTTGATATCTCGAGAGTTTGGATAAATGTTTTTTCCGGAATTTGTTATTTAGCTAGCAAGGAAGTTGGAGCTATTTATAGGTTTTTTGAACTCTATGTGTTTTGACTTGTCAGAGTCGACCAAGTAGTTCGTTTGACTGGCTTTGGAATTTTACCGCATGCAAATTGCCAAAGGGGAGAATTTTCCAAGTTATATTTTCCATTCACGCCAATGTTTGGAAATTTGGAAGAAAGATCATTTTTGAAAATGATATTTAATTGAAAACGATTGTTATCCAAAGTTTTCAGAAATGGTAAACATTGGGTACATGTTTTTTTTTTTTTTTAAGGAGAAAAAGCAAGCAAATACTAGCTCACGGGTATTTTCTTTTTTAATCTAACAAATGCTAACGTTAAATATGCTGTAGTACACTATTAATATTAGCGCGTGCAATTATCTGAAAATTAGTTTCAAAGTACGTAGAATTTTCCAAATTATATACCATGCATGCACGCAAACGTTTGGAAACTTTGAAGAACAAACATAATGCAAGAAATTTAAATTGAATTTTTCAATAAACTTAATTAATTGATGGACCATAAAAAAAAAGACTTTTCTTCATCTCAAAAATTCAAAATTACTTGGGTCTTAGTTTTCTGAAGTTCCAGTTATTAATAAATGAGTTTCCTTTCCACCCACACGTACTGTCTTTTTGTCTTAGTTGCTGCTGATCATGTCCTTCATCACGGTCAGTTCATCCTTATCAGTTCTTTTTTTTTTTTGGCATTATTTTATTGCAGAGATGACCACGTTGGTAAAATGTAAGCAAAAAGCATACCTTGAATTCATTCTTGTTGTTTTAGTGCCATTAGGAATTTAGATCGCAGACATGGACCCGCAAACAAAAACACCTTTTCAAGAGATCTGCTGGTTTGAAATTTCCAAGTGTCCAGTCAAAACTTGTATGTACGTAACTACGTACGATCAAAAGTAGGCACCTTCATCACTCTCCTATCGGTAGATCCAGATACGATTACGTAAAAATCAAGGTATTTGAAGAAATGGTTTTCTTTTTTTAAAAAAATATTATTATTTTTTTATATTAACTAAATTAAGTCAATATTGGTTAGATTAACTTGGAAGGAAAAAGAATTTTTCACTTCATTTTCTGTGCTTAAATTACATAGTAGTTCAAATTCATCATTTAATTTTAGTCGTTATTTATGGCTGGTCCATAACTTTAACTTGAAACCATTGAAGGCGGCATTCGAGATGTTACGTATGACCATCTGCTGGAGGAGAACAAGCTGTCACCATATTTTGCATATGAATAATGGGGATATATTTTACGAGTTTTATACGCAAGAAACACAATATTGATCCTTTTTTTTTTCTGGTTGGATCATATGGGATCTTTATCTATATATTGTTTTAATTTTTTTGGGATGAAAACACGCAGTTTCATTTCTACAACTCAAAGCAACATAGTAGTATAACAATAGGCTAGATTATAATTTTAACTTCTTTAACATACTGTGCATGTCTACCCTTATTAATATAACGAACCTTCGACATAAAGTTAATTTTGAATAAATTAGCACCTGAAATGTGAATTTGCATGTTATCTTAATTACTGGAATATACATACTGTCCCATTTACTTTATGCTAGCATTAAGGTGGAGTATTTTATGAATGGTGTGATGCTAATTCCTTCGTTAACTTTCTTTGTTCTTTCGTGAAGGTTGTGTCCTCAGGAATCAAAGTCTAGGTTAATTAGGTATGGACCCATACTTTTTCTTTCCAAAAGTCTTCGATTGTGCATCTCCCAAATAAAATATATTATTACATGATTCACTGACAATATTATGACTGTCACGTCCTGATCCATATTCCTTACACCACTCCAAGAAAAATACAATAGTTAGGGTACCCTGGTCAAGTTGAAAGCACAGTGAATGAGTGAAGTGAATTTTCACGGTCACTTTGATGGTTCACAATTACACTTAGCTAGCTATATACATATGAAAAGATGAGTTGCCTATCTTGCGCATTTGTATTGCTATTGGAACTTTCCATTTGCCTAGCTCCTTCTGGGCATCGCGTTAGATCATTCATTGCACCGCATATGAGTAACTAGTATTTTTTGTCGCAATGGCTATCTCCCCGTATCAACTTCGAAAATTTGTTTCTGACAATCAAAGTCATCAACTAGATTTTGGAGGTGAATCTCAAATTAATTCCATGTTTTGTAGTACCCAAAATTTGATTGTGTATCTGCCATTTTTTTAAGATAATGAAAATTTTAACTGGAAATAAATCATAACCGTTTATATGAATTCGTACTTTTTCTTTACAAGTTTACTCATTTAAGAATTAGAACATAAATTAAAATTTAGTCATTTTATTTTATGTAAATTTTCTTGTCAAAATTTTCCTTAATATCACCATTCTTTTTATAATCAATAAGTAAGTTATTAAACCATTTTCATCCTTTCTTTAGGGATCAACTGTAAATACCCTGAATCATCATTATCACCACTTGGGAAATGGAATTCAGAAAAGGAAAACTCTCCACGTTGCCTTACTAGATGCTGCACTTTAAGTTGGTGGAGTAATGATATTCTTCCCTACTTTTATAACTCTACTTATATCTCTACTGACATGGCAATCTAGTTGGTATATTCATGTCACCTCCTAATTTTCAATAATATTTTATTAAAAAGAAAAACACCCACTGTTCTTCGTCAAATTTTTTCAAACAGATAAATTGAATTTTCTCCTCAAGAATGACCGTCTCTATGCTATGGCCCAAAATTATCCTTTTTCATCACAAATCCGCACAATCCAAAATCAGACCTTCGCTCGTGCTGCGGTCGTGGAAACATCAAAGAGGCATAGAAAGGCAGCGATGATTCAAGAGGCAATTCGGTGAAACAAGAGAGGAATGATGGTTAATTTGTCGTGGAAGCAGATTATTCAGCAGTTTCGGAGTATTTGCGGGACAAATCATTCTGGGAAATTGCGAAACATACTCCCGGACATCCAATATTCCAAGATTCGATTGGAGTTGTGGGATAACCATCTTGGGATGGTGCCGATTATTTACTGGCATTTTCTATCAATTACCCTTTACTTTTGGGAATCTATAATGATTGAGGAGCATGTTACCAATCAATCCTTCGTGAATAATCTCCCGTGAAGATTTATAAAGAAACATAGTGCCTTTCAAATTCACCTAAAATTGATGCAGCCTCGCAAACCCTCACAAAAGTGGTGCCGCACCGTAGATGGGTTCCGTATGACAAAGATTGGTCCTTTATAGTAAAGTTTCCCGTCGATGGTAAAAACAAGAAGCTCAAAGAATTGGGATTGACAATAGCAACGATGAATTTGACAAGGCAAAGCAATTTAACGATGACCGATGGATGTTTCTTTTTTATCTTTATAAAAATATTATTGTAAATTTAAGAGTTGATGTGGATGTGTCAAATAGGATTGTCATGTCAGTAGAGTTAAAAAAGTAGAGAAAAATATCATTACTTAAGTTGGTATACGTATTGCCAACATGGAATCATCCCGGTCTAATTCTACTCCTAACTCTACTTACATGTTAATCTATTTAGCATTTCACATTATCTCTCTAATTATTATTTTTTCTATTTGCAAAAAGAGAAATAACTTTACGAGCCTTTCTTTTTTCTTTTTTTTTCCTTCAGTTCTTTCATTTTTTTCCCTTTCACCGTCGCAAGTTCTCTCCTTTTGCAAAATTCTGAGATTCACAATTCTCATTTGTCCAAAAGATCAAGTTAATTGATGCGATGTTTAATAACCTTGTGGTTCTGTTACTATTGTTGAGGTTTTCTTGGATATGTTCTCATTTTTTTTTTATTTCGAATCAAATCTTGCCGTTGTTGGGATTCTCTGTCCAATCTCCTATTATACTTCAGAAATTAACCTAAAATTTGGCAAGATTATGTAAGGCAGACGTTGAAGAAGAATTTGGTTTTCAATTGGTGAAGGAAATCTGATTTTCCTTTTCTTCTTTTCGTTTGAGGGTGCTGCGTTGAGGTGAAAAGGGGAAAGAAAAAAGTCGATGAAACTTGAAAGTATCGATTGAAATTGATTTTATTTTTTAGTATAAAGAAAAGAAATAATAGATTTTATTTTTTAAATAAAAAACAATATTTAGGGAAGTGATATAGAATACCAACTAGATATATGTAAGTAGAGTTATATTTGTAGAGAAAAATATCATAACTCGAAAAGAAAATACTTAATAGTTAGCAAACTTAAACATCTTTAAAATATTACTCCCTCATCCCATAAAATATTTCATATTGAGTTTTAAAATTCGTATTACAAATCGATATCAGTGCAATTACTTTTCAGGGAACTTATGCCACAAAATTAGGTTTTGCGAAGCCTTTGCTATATAATAGTGTCAAGATATTTAAACTCCGGGTATATTAACCTGTTAACAAAACATAGAACCGCTATTACAGTGTTATTTGATGTGCAGAACCTGTTAACTGATGACTGAAATTCAAATCAGTTAAGACAGTTAACTGAGTCAGTGCCTAATATTCCCTCCGGTCCTTAATATAAGGCAGTTTGATTTGTCATAAGTTTCACCTAATACATATTTTTAATTGACAAAAAAATTTTAAAAGTATTTCTTGATAATAAAAAAAAACACAACGAATGTGAAATATGATTTTAAGGTTTTTTTGTTAATTAAAAATACATACTAGGCAAAATATAAGATAAATCAAAATGTCTTATATTAAAGAGTGGAGATAGTATTTTCAAAAAGAATATAGAAAATGAAACACGATCTATATATTGATGACGCCTGCCCGCCGTAGTCTGTAATGATACTAGTAATAATTTATTTCAGAGAAAATAATAGTAATAAGTTGCGCAAAAGGAACCATAAAATTCAGAGAAAAAAAATACTTTTTTACGAAAACCCAGAAAGCATTATACGATGATATGCTCTACGCATATAGAATATGGTATAAGACCTCCATCACAAATTAAACTGAAGAGATCCACCTTTTGAGAGACAAAAGATTAACCTGCCAGAAACTAATAAATTAAACGACTTAAATCAATTAATTTTATTTTCTTACAGAAGAAGATTCCCACGGCCAAATCTCCGTCATGCAGCTTATAGCCTCGCTTCCAATACCATTATTACTCCTATCAAAGTTACCGGCCGATTCGAGACCGACGGTGCCGGAATTATTATTACTCCGACCACCCGTAATTCCTAACTGAGGATGAAACAGCCCAGCATCACTCTGATTCCCTTGACGTATGTTATTACAATTGAAAGTACTATTAGTGTTGTTCAAACAGTTTTGAAGAATGTGACTCAAACTCGAAGTCAACGAACAACGTGCGACCATGTCTTCTGCCAGTTTGACCTTCGCCCTCAACGCTTCCACGTCGGATTTCAGAACCCGGTTATTTGTCGCGGCGTCCTTATACTGCTGAGTAGCGTCAGTGAGTTGCTTAAACAGCGAGCCGTTTTCGCCCCGCAACTGCTCCACTTGTTGCTCCAGCTCCGCTAAATGCGCTTGTTTCCGCCTCCGCGACCGCCTCGCCGACTCCCGGTTCGACACCATTCTCTTGATCCGCTTGACGTCGACCGGGTCCGTGCTTTGCTCGCACTGACCGCCTTCGATGTCGAGTTCGTCGTCGTCCGATTGATCTGGCGACGAACCGCTCGTCGCGAAGAGTATTGCCTGATGGAAATTATCCCGCGACTTTGATTTAGTGGTTGTGGAAATCGGACTTCCGACGCATATCGATGATTGCGAATCCAAAGGGAAACTTTTTTGAGTTTCCTTTTGGATTACCGGAAAATGGTTCTCAATACCATTTAAAACACCGTGAAGAATATTGTTATTATTATCATGAGCACCGACTTTCTGTTCATCTTGCTTGAAGAACTCCTCTAGGGCTAATTCAGAAGGGCTTCGTTTCATATCGAAGAAAGTGGATTTTTTGTTCATTGAAGAAGGAATTGGATTTTGCTTAACTGAGAAGAATAATAACAGGAGGCGATTGAAAAGTTGGAGGGGAAAGAAAGGGGGAGATCTAGAAGAAAGGAATGAGTGAATTTATAAGAGTAAAACATTTGGTAAAGTAGTATAGTGCATTTTCATCATACGTTTGAGTGATTAAGAAATCACAAAGAAACAGCCAAAAGAAGACGAAGGAAAGTAGTAGTATATAGTAGTGAAAGGCAAAAGCTGAGAATCAAATGAGTCAGATTTCCATAAAACATTGGAAAAGTTAATATGGTTGATTGATATAAAGCTCTCTCACACATGGGCGCTTCCTAAAGTAATTACCAAAGAATTTTCAGCTAATTTAGTGGATGTACACATCACTACACATCACTTGGTACTGAATGTCTGATTCTCTTTAATTAATTTCCAAAGTTACTAAGTACAAACCTCAATTTTGATATTAATTTTTACGTTTCATTTTCTTGGAATTTATTCTAGTACTAGTTCAGTTGTACAAATATTACAAATAAAAAACTAGAAGAAGAAAGATTTAATATATGTAGAAATATTCCTCATGTTTAGGGATTTGTTTAGTAACCGAAGAGAATGATTGATTGCTAAATATTTTTTAAGTGATTTGCAATAAGCATGAGGTATATTGCCTATATTCAATTAAAAAACATGGACAAATTACATATGCTTATCAATCATCAACTTCTGCATTTAAGTTTGATTGAGAAATCTATAACAATAGCTATCAAACATTAGCTGACTAACCTTTTTTTTTTTTTTTTTGGTTTTCCGAAATGACGATATTTGGAGATGATATCTTTATTCTTATCTTCATTTTATTTTATTTTGCTTTTGAGTTCTTAACAAGAAGGCTCTTGAAAAATGAACATGAAAAACGATCTTTTCGGCTGAATTGTCCTGTCTGAATAAATATTGACGTCATTGGATACAGTCAAAAGTTTAAAATATTGCTTGTCTATACTATGTGCAACATGTGCACGTATATCTTTTCCAAATAATTTGCTGCATCGATCATGAGAAGGTGTAACAATAATACTTAAAAATCCAAAAACATATTATATACCTTGGTTCCTATATAAATTTTTTTTTTTGATAAAATATATAAATTAATTTTAATAATAGTATCTGAAGTATAATATACTAAAAAGAATGAGGAACAAATTGAAACCTCAGGTAGACAAAACCAAGATTACTACAGCCAGTCATTCAAGGCAAAGAAATTTTTTGAAGAGCCCGTATCCAGTGCACCCAAATATACCGTATACTCCCACCAAATACACGCACTACACGCGCTTAACATTTTTCACCTTTACATTAAATGCACAAACAAAATTGTTTTCATCCATTTTACTGTTTTCATCCTCACGCACAAACACACACAATTGCTGTTTTCAATTGCTGCTTATCCATTTTACTGTTTTTATCCACAAGTTGTAAACTGTTTATCCAGAAGGGGTAAACTGGTTATCCAGAAGGTATAAACTGGTTATCCAGAAGGTGTAAACTGGTTATCCAGAGGTAAAGAAGCAAACGACATGTTACTTGGGGGGCGAAGCCCCCATGATAAACTAAACAACTCCCGCGGCTACCGGAATCACAGGTCACTATCCTGCCCCGGCTGCGCCGCCCCGCTGAACACGCCAATTTAACTAAGATAATCATTTTTTCGTGTGTGTATAAGGAGAGTGTGTTATTGCGTTAAGAGGGGACACAAATTACTTGTATAAATCCCCCCATGATAAACTAAATGACCCGGTTGTGCCGGTGCCCGCGGCTGCACCGCCCCCCTGCCGAACACTTTCATAAATAAAAATTGTGTATAACTAATTATCCATATTGTCAATACTGGTTATCCAACTGTGTATAACTAATTATCCATATTGCCAACACTGGTTATCCACATTGTGAACACTGGTTATCCATAGTGTGTAGCAGCTTATCCATAGTGTGCACACTGGTTATCCAGCTGCACAGTGGCTATCCAGCCATGTTTAACTAGTTATCCATAGTGTGCACACTGGTTATCCACAGAAGGTTTAAAAAAAAAAAAAAAAAGAAAGCTGAATTATCTAGCGAGCTCACACTATTCTAAGAGAATAAAGTACACGCACAGGGGGTACACAGTGCCCCCGGGTGTACCAGATAATTTGCCTTTTTTGATTTGAAGTCATGAAATCCAGGAAATTTCCAGGAGCGTTGTTTCTTTCTCGCTTACCGTTGTTTGTGGTGGTGGTTGTCACCACGTATGTCCATAACATTACTTATAAACCATGCATGGCCCCCATGCATTATAAGGATATCATAATTTTCTTTAGAAAATTCTGAGAAGAAAACTTATGTCTCACAATGAAATTTTCAGTTATTGGTCAGTTAATAATTATTTCTCCATACAATTTTTCACCCTCATTTTGCTAATATATATATATATAAAAGCGTTATTCTTAGTTTTAAGCTCAACTTCTACCAAATGAAAATTTCGACAACTTAACGTTTAAGAAGGGAAAATTTGTCAATTTTTTATGAGGGTCCAAACATTAGGTTTCACATATGCGAGATTCCTTTTTTTTTTTTTTTTGTGAGGAACGTTTTGTTAATTAATTCTTTCTTATAAACTTTCAAATAGTGTTATTCATGGAGGAGAAGAGTTTGAATTTAGTCTGTGTATACGTGGAAAAAGAAGAAGTTTGTAATGTTGCCTAGAGGTCTATTTCTTTTTACAGAGACGTGACTTTCTCCTTCTCTTGTAGTGCTTCCAAAGTTAACCAAAAATTGAAGGGAAAAAAAAAATAGTTGTACTTTTATGTATCTTCGTAATTAAGTTCTTCGACTCCTAAAATGATTAGTTCATTACAAACCATGTGTCCGCATATATTTGGCACAAATATCTACTGCACCCTCTTTCTTTTCCTTTTTTTTTTTTTTTGAACTGCAGCTTTTTCTTCGTTTTTAAGGTTAATAATTCATAAATATCATCAGGGAACTCTCGTCAACAATACTTGAACTTCTTGATTTTGTGGTTACAATTCCCCAAAATAACTTTATATTCCAGTTGCAACTGTATTTCTCCAATAAAATAATAAATCATCAATATAATCATTTCTCACAAAAACTCCATTTCTATCCTAATTCAGTATTACTTTTATATACTTCCTCTCTTTTTAAAATTTGTGCACGTCAACATTCATATGCAATCTTCTTAAACCGAAATCAGATAGATCAGTTAAACTAATAATCGGATTTTGATGTAGTTCATGTTGAAAATAGTACAAGAACCGATCGAATAGTCGTTTTCCATCCCACATCATAGTGTGTAAAGCTTAGACTCGGCATGCTTTGAACTGCATCAGGTCTAATTAACATATATGGAGGAAAAAAAAAAAAAAAGAAAGAAAAACAATCAGTCAACAACTGGGTGAAAACTTGTGAAAATCATATGTTCCAACTTCCACGAAATTGTTTAAACGTTTCCTTGATCGAAAAGGGAAGGAAGTTTTTTTTTTTTTTTTTGAAAGGGTAAAAGGGAAGGAAGTTAATTGGGCAGGGAAGATGCAGTGTAAAGGAATTTTCGGAAGGCATTATATATGCATGAGAGTAAATAAAAGGATGTTAAATCATGCATACTTACGTTGATTTTTCCGTTCTAATAACGCTGTAATAATTGTCTCATTGTTTTTAAGTTTATCTTGTTTTTTCATTAGATGTAAAAATATTGTAAAATAGTACTTCATCTGCCCATAAAAAAAATCTACATTAAATTTTGAGATTTGTACTAAAAATAATACAAATTTTAAAACTCGATATGAACTTTTTGTTTTGAAACAAAGGTAGTATACACTTATAATATATCCATATTTCAATTCCATTCAATTTTGTTGTTATTCATAATGTTACATGTCATATGAATTCACAGTTAAAAAAAATCAAGACACTTGATATACTGAGGGTTTTTTTTTTCAAAAAAAAAAAAAAAGATTTTTGTTATGAGATTGAATGACATATACATTTGAAGTGTGCAGAGTTGTTTCTTTGATGATTTTGTTAATTCATCTCTCTCTGGTCCTTATTATCAAATACAAATTCAAACTAATTTTAGTGTTATAATAAATTTTACATTATAATTAAGATCGGGAAATAGTTCCATTTGCAATACATATATTTTTTTATATCCTTTTAAGATAGCAAGAATATGGACGTACAAGTACTCAGAAAATTCTAAATATATATACATGACTTGCTGTACCTTGCTACGGCTCTTTGTAGCACCAACCTGAACACATCTTTGGGAGTTGGTTTCTTTGACCATTTTAGTTTCTACTCGATATTACGACATTTTCCTTTGTTTCCAAAACGAAATCACTGTCAAAAACATCCATACACGTTAAATGGAAAACAAGTCGAAGTCATCAAGATTAATTTTTGAATGGAAAACGACCTTAATTTTATTTATTTATTTTGATCGGAAATTTCAAACCACACAACAAGGTGCTTTGTTCTGCTAAGTACACGTACTTAAGGTCGTAAACCTCGTTATAATCAGCCTAATAAAACATTTAACGTTAACCCAAAAGTATGCTTTTTACCAAGTAGTATTATATAATATATAAGAGTCATTTCTCTATAATAAATGAATAATTCAAGTTGAGCAACCATGCAAGCTGAAGCTGAAATTTGAGAAACGTTTATATTTTTTGACCCCAAATAAGAACAAGAATAAAAACTTAATTTGACTGGAACGCTGAAGATCATGTTTAAGCCCTTTGAATATTTTCGTGAAATATTGGATAATAAAAACTAAATTTCCGCACTTGCTCACGGTCAAATATTAAATACAGCTAGGCAGAATTTGATTTAATTACTATCCACTATGTCATCATTTTTCATTTCCCACTTCTTAAAAATTACAAAATTCAGGAAATTGATTTTGATCAAATTAAATTAACATCCAAATGCATATAGGTAGATAGAGTCAGCGCACAACTGGTCGCATCTGAAAATTCAAACAATTTTAGTGGAAGTCAAGTCAAATAATTGAGGGAGAGGAAGGTTTTGGGCCATCCCCAATAGTTTCGTAGTTTTCTATCACTATAAATATGTCCAACTTCTTCATCACCCAATCACTCAAAAAGTTTCCAATCATCATCTCTTCCAAATCAACCACAAAATCATCATTTCTACTTAGAATTTTTCATTCAGAAAAAAAAAAACAAAAAAACAAAACCCTTTTATACTACAACTGAACAAGAGTATAGAAATATGGAAAGAAGTGGATCTCTTTTGCAGCCTCCAACTTACGGAAAATCTATCACTATATTGAGTATTGATGGTGGAGGCATCAGAGGAATCATCCCTTCAGTCATCCTTGCATTTTTAGAGTCTGAACTTCAGGTTTGTAATTAATTCATCTATCAAACTTTCATGCTTAAATTCTACCTTTCAGAAATGGAAGAAAAAAGGTCCTGAAATATTTCATTTTGTTGTTTGGTTTTGATTTGGTGTATGTATAGAAATTGGATGGTGAAGATGCAAGACTTGCTGACTATTTCGATGTCATTTCCGGCACAAGTACCGGCGGTCTAGTAACGGCGATGCTTACTGCTCCAAACGAAAACAACCGGCCTCTCTTTGCTGCCAAAGATATCAAGGATTTCTACCTTGAAAATTGCCCAAAAATATTCCCCCAACACAGGTAAATTTTGCTAGTCTAATTGAAAATAGTGTATGAGCTATATTCAGTTTTTACATAGTGCTTGGACTAATTCATTGGTTATGCTTTTGTGTGATCAGTCATTATCTATTAGGGTCAGCCGAAAAGATAGTGAAAGCTGTGAAGGGACCAAAATATGATGGCAAATATCTCCATAATCTTCTCAATGAAAAACTTGGTGACACTAAGTTGCACCAAACCTTAACAAATGTTGTCATTCCAACTTTCGACATCAAATTACTCCAACCAACAATCTTCTCAAGCTATGCGGTTCGTTTCATTTTCTTTTTTTTTTTTCTCCTCCTTTCTTTTTTCCTTCCTAACATTCTGAATAAAACCCGGTAATCATCAATGATCTTAATGAGTGTGTTTTTTGGTGGTCCAGATTAAGCAGCACCCAAATCTCAACGCCAATTTAAGAGACATTTGTATAGGAACTTCAGCTGCTCCTACCTATCTTCCTGCTCATTATTTCGAAACTCAAGATTCCGATGGTTGCATTCGACCATTTAATCTCATTGATGGTGGTGTCGCGGCCAACAATCCGGTAAACATACATTTTCTTTTCCTGCAGCTGATTACTTTACCTGTTTCAAAATAATTGTTATGTTTGAATTTTCACTTTTAGTACAAGTTGTTAGAAATGAAATTTCAAATAGGAGAATCGTTTCGTGATTCCTCATTAATGACTAGTGACTAACATGAAAAGTTGAACGATCAAATTTCAGGCTCTTGTGGCTATAAGCCAAGTGACCGGAGAAGTTACCCGAGGAAATACCGACTTCTTTCCAATGCAACCTTGGGAGTATAACCGGTTCATAGTATTGTCTTTAGGAACTGGAACAGCCAAAGAAGAAGGAACGTATGATGCAAATCAAGCTGCCAAATGGGGCATATTGGGATGGTTGAGCAGTGGCGGCTCAACTCCACTTGTAGACGTGTTTACTCAAGCAAGTAGCGATATGGTCGATTTCCATCTCTCCACTCTTTTTCAAGCCCTTCAATCTGAAGACAATTATCTTAGAATCCAAGTACGTACTTTTCACAAGTTGTCACATTGTACAAGTTGAAGGCTTGTTTTTTAATTATATATCACTATTATTTTTAAAATTTGTCCTAATTAATACTCATGCAAATGGATTTTTTTTTTCTTTTGTATCCAGGATGATACATTGACTGGAGACTTGTGTTCGGTTGATATCGCGACTGAAGAAAATCTACAAAATCTTGTTGAAGTTGGGGAGAATTTGTTGAAGAAACCAGTTACAAGAGTCAACTTGCAAACCGGTGTTTGTCAACCTTTGAATATGGGAACTAACGAGGAGGCCCTCAAGAGGTACAAACAAATATCATATACATTTTCTTATTTAGCTCAAAAATAATGAATGAGTTTCACATTATAATTAAGAGGGAAGCAATTTCCTTGTTGTGTTTTTATATATGGCTAAAATGTTAGTTATCATTCTGTATAGGTTGGCCAAAACACTATCGGACGAGAAGCGGCTTCGTGATGTTATGTCACCTAATGTTCACAAGTCTAAGATCAGAAGACTCAGTAGTTTTCGGACATTTTCGCAAACAGAAAGAATTCGTGCAAAAAACTAAATTAATAGATATGAAAATATTGTACACTCATTGATTCTTTCGTACATTCTTGTAAAATGTGATATTTCTATTATTTGTTGTCCAAATGATTAATAAAGTTCTTTGATTCTTTTTCCTTGTAGAATCCTTGTATATGTATTTGCTTTTATGGTCAACTCAATTTTCTTTTCTTTGAAGTCATGCCATAAGCTTTGAGGAATTGACTGAGTATGTTTGTTCCTTCCATTGACCTGAATCTTTCACCACCGTGGAGTGGTGCCATTATTTTAGCATTTTCTCACCTTTTAATCGCCCTGCCCCTTTCATTGCTAGTTATTTTGCCAAACACGAACTATATACAGTACTACTGATGAGTGTTAAACCAACAAAAATAAAAGAATCTACTCCTAAAACATTTGGTAGTATATTAATAAATAGGGTTATCTACTCAGGGAACAAGAAAATGAAAATATTTCTAATCAAAAGCAAATTAATCAAATGGAAGAGATTTTGGATTTGTGATTAACAAAAATAAAACTTGTAAATAGTAAAAGATATTTTTCGAAAACTTATATTAAGAGAAACTCTAGTAAAAGGTATAATTTCCATCTTGATGAATCTAAATGATCATTGATGCAATAATTAACTCAATAAATCAAGAATATATTAGTTATCGGTGTTAGAACCTCCTAACAACTCAGCCTTTTAATTTATTACTAGTGATTAAGAAACTTTCATTAACTACTCTATAGTCAAAAACACTACCTGGAACCTCCTAAGACTTAGTTTTCGACAAGCAAAGACCCAATTCAATTTCTAACAAACAAGCCTTGCTTCATTGAAAATTGATTATTTATTCTCACAACACAAATAAACTACTTGCAGAATAATTAATTACATTGTCTTTTCTAATGAACAAACAAACCTTGTTGTTCAATGAATTAGATTATCTAGGAGAACTGAATGCTACCAACTATTCAAATAATGCTAAATAATCTTCAATACACATCGAAAAGAATAAATAAATATTCAAAACATATTGGCGAATAGAAAACAATTAGATCTCACAATTGAATAACATCAAGACTTCAATAAAATCTTTCAACTAGAAAAGAGATTTAGCTACTAATCTTACTAAGATCAATAGCAAAAGAGTACATAATTTAATCTTACAGGGCTAGTTCTAGAAAAAATAGAGAGAAAAACTTGAAACCAGATCCTCAGAGCCTTCCTATATTTCTTATGATCCCAAAATACTAAGAAAAAGACTATTTATAATAAAATCTAAGGCAGCCGCACGTTCAGCCCTTCAGAATTCGCATATACCAGTTAACTTTTTTGAAATTTTCAGATCGGTCCCTGAAGTTTGCATAAATTATAATTTGACTCTAAACCTTTAGAAATTTTGGTGGAAATTCCTGCCTCCTCCATTAATTTTGGCTTGAATTTTGTATGCTTATGTGGGAGTTCAACACTTGTTCTCTCAACTTCATAATTTATTCGATAAAACCTTCTAAAACTCTTCAATTTTGTATTTTAGTCCTTTATTTTGCGTGCCCACGTGGGAATACAACCTCGTTGCTGGAAATTCGTGCCTCCTCCATTGATTTTGGCTTGAATTTTGTATGCCATGTGGGAGTTCAACACTTTTTCTCTCAACTTCATAATTCATTTGATAAAACCTTCTAAAACTCTTCAAAATCAATACTTTTATTCTCTTCATCCGCAACCTTTCCTAAGATCAAATAAAGCACAAAAACACTGATATTAGCATAAATATTACTCAAAACAACACAATAATCACTATAAATATTATGCTAATATTAGCATTATCAACTCCCCCCATACTTAGATTTTGCTTGTCCTCAAACAAACACAACTCAAAGTAAGCATGATAATATTCTTTCCTACAGACTCTAACATACAAAAGCAGTAAAGAGAATTGTCAAAACTTGTCTCAGATTCTAGTCTCATTAGAGACAAATAATGTACACCATGGTTCAGTACCACTTGATCAAGTCAGAAACTCCCTTCTATGAGTGTGTGAAACAGACCACAAAACAAAGTGTTGCTTAACCTCCTGTCCAATCTAAGATTAGGTTCAATTAATTTCAAATGAACATTCTTGTGATCAGTACCTATTTCCTTCATGTCTTCAACTAGGGCATTCTTACTGAGGTTCAGATCTAAGGGCTTTCTCTTATTTTCTGCAAGCATCATTGGCTGCATCTTTCACCCTTGTACCTTTTCATCTATGGTCCAATTGGCTTTTCTTCAGACTCTTTCCCACTCAGACCTTTAGCAAGAGCATTTTCCAGCAACTACGGTAATCTAAGCATTTAATTTGTTTTTTAAACTCACCAGACCTGAGGACACTCCTCTCTTTGGTGCCATATCTCACCTCTCAATGGATTAAATGCCACATTGCACACATTGCCTATACTCCCTCATTAGATAAAACACTTAACCTCAGATTCAACCGCCAACTTTCCCCTTTTTCCAAGGTATTTAGGCTAATACAAACCACTATGGGCTCGATTCGAGGCTGCCATAATGCGTAGGATTGCCTTAGTCTAATTCCCAGATTGACAGTCTCCCCAGGTTTTAGACAAGTGGACTCCAGTATAAGATCACAACAATGCATTAAGCATTCAAGATTTTAAAAATTTAAGCCCAAAGCAAACGCATTATCAAGTGGAATGTTGTGCGTAAAGATGTGGTCATGAGTTTCTAACATTGCTTAAAAATGATCCTAAACAGGTATTTTTTACAGACATATGTAACCCTCAAAATTGAATTCATCATAGACTATTGACAATTCTCAAAGAAGTGCAATTCCTTCAATTAAGTAATTTAATTAGGACATAATCAAAACAAACAAATTCCTCCCCCACACCTAAAGGTTACATTGTCCTCAATGTATAAAACATACAAAGACAAACAAGAAAAACATATACAAAATCCCACATAATGTAAAAGAAAAAAAAAACGGTACTTCCTTGGGATTTTGTAGTGGCGGAATAAAATTTGGTATGAGTACAAGTCTACAGCTTTTGATGCATTCGCACATGGGTTGACCAACCATAAAAATTCCCCTTGAAAGCTAGCTGCCACACTTAAACAATCCATCAAAATAAACTAACACTACGTCGAGCAAATGATTAAGAAAACCCATGAAAATCAAGAAATCATAAATCTCAAGATCATCAGGAACAAAAAAACTTAACCACATAATCGATTTATTCAACAATACAAATAACAAAATAAACCATTGGATTGCCTCCCAACAAGTGCCTTTCTTTAGTGTCTTTGGCTAGACACAGCATGTGTGTATCAAGGTGGAAACTTGAAAGCTCCACACACGATCAGAATTTGATACATCTCTGAATAAGCCTCAACAAAACTAAGGTTATATGTCTTAAACTGATAATCAAGTATTGTATCAACAAACAAAGGTGGAAAATGGTCTCCTCTAAATGAATCTTTAAAAGTATTACACACCTTCCACACATAAACACAAACATGAAATTCAAAATTGACATCTATCATCTACCAGAATTCAAGAGGTCTAAGCAAATGTCCAAATGCACGCTTAAAATGTATAGGCATGGATCTTAAGTCAACTTTTGATGGTTTCTACTTTTAAAAATTGTAGGCACACACTCAAAAGCACAACTACCATTGAAATTAACTCGCAAAGCACTCTTAGCATTCAAATTCACAATTTCCCAACCTAAAGATTTAACTCCATTTGTTAATTTAATTCTAGCAGTTTTTCGAAATGCCTTCCTAAGAAGAGTGAAATCGATTTTCTTGCAGAATATTTTTTCAAATCAATCACTTCAAAAGTAACAGGCAAAACAAAATGACCACTTATTATTACAAACTTCTCAACCACACAAGTAGGAAATTCAAGAGACTCGTCAACAATATTTAAAGCCACATTGCTTTTAGATAAAAGCTCATGTTTTAACAAGTCAAATATAGAACAAGGTAAGTTATTCAGACTAAATTCACCAAGTTGAACCTGTTGAAAATTGCAAAATATAGTGAACATACCAGAGATCTTACATTTTGGAGGAAATTCTGAATCAAATTTCCTATAGGAATTATTGCTCACCGAAATAACCTCATTACCTCCGAGAGAGTTCTCTAGGGCTTCTTTCTCATTCTCTTCCTTTTTTGGCTCCAACAACTTGTCTAAAAGAGATGAAAACATTGCATAAGTAGGACAAGTATACAGAGCAATAACATCTTCTACATCTATATTTTCCAAAGCCTTTTTCCCTGTTTCCTCTGCTTTTGTATCTTCTAAACTTTCTACATGTTGCACCTTTATGGTATCTACCTACAAAGCATCCTCTTCAAAAAGAGTTTCTGCAATTTTTGGCTTAACCTCTTCTTTAATCGGTCCTCTCAACCTTCCAGGAAATGGAGGGGGTATCACAAACTTTGGTTGTTCTTTCTTACATTCCTTTATTTCCTCCCTCTTTAGTATATCTTGCTTGATTTGAGTGTCTTCCACCACTATTGTACATTCACTCTCTGTAGCATAATTCTCAACTTGATCTGGAACCTGAAACGTCTCAGCCTCTAATCTACTAACTTCTGCAACCATCTGGGACATTTGATTTTCCAAGTTTTGAATTGTAGCACAAGTAGATTGTGATTCATGTGTAAGATCATGCACATTAATTGCCAAACTTCTAATCATTTCCTCCAAAGACTTACCTGGTTGTGGTGTTGGCATTGGTGGTTGATACACTTATGGTGATGATGGTAGTGGATTGTAGTCGTAATTTGGGTAATCTTGCTAACTTGGATAATGTGTGTATGGATTCTGCTCATATCCCCTTCGTGGCGATTCCTAAAATCCTCCTACATTACTCACATATCCTCGCGGATGATATTGAAAATTTGGACAAAAATTTGCTTTGTGACCGTGTAGAGAACATATACCATATGCTTGCACCTACTTGAGTTGACTTACAGAAGAAGTTAGTTCTTCTAGTTGTTGGCTGATGGACAAGAGTCTTACCACATTTATCCTAGGAATCATACTGATGATATCCATATGAATTCATGGCAAAAGTAAAATCTCTAATGCCTGTATCAAAATAGAGAAAAGCAAAAACCCAAACAAAAACAACTTCTAAAAAGAAATAAATCATTACACCATGCTCCCCGGCAACGGTGCCGAAATTTGGTGGGTGTCAAACCAACAAAAATAAAAGAACCTACTCTTAAAAAATTTGGTAGTATAGAAATGAGTAAGGTCATTTCCTCAGGGAGCAAGGAAGTGAAAATATTTCTAATCAAAAGCAAAGTAACTAAATGGAAGAGATTTTAGATTTGTGATTAACAAAAATAAAACTTCTAAACAGTAAAAGATACTTTTCGAAAACTTATAGTAAGAGAAACTCTAGTCAAAGGAATAATTTCCACCTTGATGAATCCAAATGATCATTGGTGCAATGATTAACTCAACAAATTAAGAATATGTTGGTTATCGTTGTTGGAACCTCCTAACAACTCAGCCTTTTAATTTATTATCAGTGATTAAGAAACATTCATTAACCACTCTATAGCCGAAAACACTACCTAGAACCTCCTAGGACTTAGTTTTCAATAAGCAAAGACCTAATTCAATTTCTAACAAACAAACCTTGCTTCATTAAATATTAATTATTTATTTTCACAATACAAATAAACTACTTACGAAGTAATTAATTGCATTATCTTTTCTAAGGAACAAACAAATCTTGTTGTTCAATGAATTAGATTATCTAGGAGAACTGAATGCTACCAGCTATTCAAATAATGCTAAATAATCTTCGATGCACATCGAAGAGAATAAATAAATACTCAAAACATGTTGGCGAATAGAAAACAATTAGATCTCACAATTGAATAAAATCAAGGCTTCAATAAAATCTTTCCACTAGAAAAGAGATTTAGCTACTAATCTTACTAAGATCAATAGCAAAAAAATATATAATTTAATCTTATAGAGCTAGTTCTAGAGAAAACAGAGAGAAAAATTTGAAACCAGAGGCTCAGAGCCTCCCTATGCCTCATACGATCTAACTCTCCCAAAATACTAAGAAAAAGACTATCCCTTTTATACCCTATTAAAGCAGGAAACAGGATGCTGATGTGGCAATTTCTTATTAAAAGGTTTTGGCTCCAAATGCACCATATTGCATAAACCATTCTGCCACGTGTCACCCTCTTTTAAAAACAAAAAATATATTTACAATATTAACAAAGAGATCAGATGTCCATGTTCATTCAAATTTTGAATTTGACAGTAAATGAAACTTTCCTTCTCCACTTATTTAGGATTTTTGAAAAAATTAATTTTCGACAAATCAATTATCTTCATTAAAAATTAAATTCATTCCTAATCAGTTTTGATTATTTACATATTAATGTATTAGGTGGGAGGACGCCTCCGGGCATTTATTCATTTCTAATCAGTTTTAATTATTTACATATTAATTTATTAGGAGGGAAGACGCCCCCGGGCATTTGCCCGGGGCAAGCATCTAGTTTATATTAAAACCTAAGGCAGCCGCACGTTCGCTCTTCAGAATTCGCAGAAACCAATTAATTTTTTTGGAATTTTCAGACCAGTCACTAAAGTTTGCATAAATTACAATTTGACCCTAAATGTTAGAAATTTTGCAATTTAGTCCCTACTTTTGCGTGTCCACGCGAGAATACAACCTCGTTGCTAGCAATTCCTGCCTCCTCCATTGATTTTGGCTTGAATTTTGTGTGCCAATACAGGAGTTCAACACTTCTTCTTTCAACTTTATAATTCAATCGATAAAACCTTCTAATACTCTTCAAAATCAACACTTTTATTCTCTTCATCTGTAATCTTTCTTAAGATCAAATAAAGCACAAAAACACTGATATTAGCTATTGATCTTAGTAAGATTAGTATTGTCAACTACCCCCAAATTTGTTGCAGCTTCATTGCCATTTTTTTTCCCACATATAGTATTCCATTAGTATATTTTTCTCTTTGAGAAAGGGTAATATGTTAATGATTTGCTCCATCCTTTGATAAGAAGCCTTTGTTTGTGTAAAAAAATAAAAAATTAAAACGGTGTATCTATCAATGAAGAACGAAAGAATGATAATAAACTTTTAATCGACTAAAACACAATTGCAAGGGTATATATAAAATACTAACATGTACTATATATTAATTCATATTGAGAATTGTCGACCTTTTTCTTTCTTTTTTTTGAACAAGAGGCAGTATAATCTTTATGATTTGGAAAAAATTGTCGATATTATCAAATTTTGTCCCAATCGTACAATTAAAGAAATATTACGGGATCAAAGTAGAAAAGAAAAAGAATTATGAACGTATATTGACTTTTACTAATAACACAGGGTCCATTCAGCAGTTTTCCCTTTCTTCTTTTGATAAAGCGTAACCAAATTGGAAAAAGCGTGCAGCTTCAACTTGTTGCCAAAGAAATCCTCCCCGGATACAAATATAAATAAGCCAAAAAAATAAAATAAAATCATAAAGAAGAAGTAGTAGTCCCAGAAATAGTTGAATCGAGCTGAAAAAAGTATGTCCGGGATGGAAAGATTGCAGCGAATGTTCGCCGGCGCCGGAGCTCTTGGCCATCCTCCTCCGGACTCGCCAACCCTTGATTCATCGGAACAAGTTTACATCTCGTCTCTCGCGCTTCTCAAGATGTTAAAACACGGTAGGTTTTAATCTAGGTTTTTACTGATTTTTGTTTTTCAGGTTTATTGATTAATAATTACTAGTTAGGGTTTTGGTTTTGGGCGTTTGATTTGATGGAAATTAATTTCATATTATGACTGTATAGGGAGAGCTGGGGTGCCGATGGAAGTTATGGGTTTAATGTTGGGGGATTTTGTCGATGAGTATACGGTTCGTGTTGTGGATGTGTTTGCTATGCCCCAAAGTGGTACTGGGGTTAGTGTTGAAGCTGTTGATCATGTCTTCCAGACTAATATGCTTGATATGCTCAAACAAACTGGCAGGTATGTTCCCCTTTTAATTTTCCTCCGATTGCTCTGCTAGATTGTTTGATATGTTTCATGGTCATTACTGTTTTTAAGTTCCAAATGCAAATTGAATTTTGTAATGTCCAGGAATTGGAGTTGAATTTTTGATTTCATAGAATTTTGAGTTGCAGAGATAGGGTTAGATTCTAGAAAATTTTCTTATGGCCCTCGACGGCCCTCACAAGTTTTAGGCAATTGTGATTAACATTACTACTGACCCGACAATTCTTAGGAGTTGATTGACGCTAACAATATACTAGCAAGTGTAATTAACATTATTACTATTGAACCTTATTTATACATTAACATAATGGAAATTAAAGTTGAATACTTATGAGCTCGACAAGGTTTGTATTAAAGCTGTGAATAATCTCTTACTGTTGGTGGCTGTTATGCAATGTATGATGTTATAGTTTTTCATTGTTCATCAGATTCACCTGAGCATGTTGAGATGTCCTTTTATTGATAATATTTTGCTTTGTATTAGTTGGACAGTGAAACTTCTTTGTCTAAAACTTGTTATTATGCAAAATGAACCTCTCCAGTTTTCTAACCACCTCTTCAAATGTCTGAAACGTACTCTCTTAATTTTGAAATAGTTGAGCATAATGCTGTTGCATTTTAGAATTAGTAATGTGATATGAGCTATACTAATACCGTAATAGGCTAGATGGTTGAGTTGGTAAAGTTGAGGTGTCCGTGTCAATTTCAAGCTGTGCTACCAACTTTTTTCTTATATCCTTGTGTTCTTCCTTGGCCATTTCTTATCTCTGTTGTTTATTGTGTTTTATAATTTTTAAACTCTTCTTGGTTATGTTGCAGACCTGAAATGGTTGTTGGTTGGTATCATTCCCACCCTGGGTTTGGCTGTTGGCTCTCCGGTGTGGATATCAACACTCAGCAGGTGTGTGTCTGTAATCTGATTTAGCTATATTTCTTCCATTTAGATATCAAGTGAAGACTACCTTTGTTAGCGCTGTCCGTTTTTCTGTTTCTTTTTTTGAGTGTGGGGCTGTTCTAGTTTATTCTGATCGACTCTGTTTTTATCTCTTGGGTTTGCTGTCATACGTATCCCTGTTTTGTTATTCCCTTTTTATGCTTTTCCCTTACTATTGTTCTCTATTAATGATGTGTTTGCACATACTTACACCTGCTATTGGCCACCTCCCACTGCTTTTCAATTCAATGCTTACACAACTACTTTTCTGCCACACTTTGCTTTGTGGTATGCTATGCAAGTAATGGATCTGTTACATGTGGAACTATGGAGTTGATGTTCGGTTGGTTAAGCATATCGACATTACATTACTATATGCAGAAATTTATCACTTGTGACTGGCCAGCCGCCTATATTTTCAGATATTCTGTTTGGTTCTCAGTTTGACATGTTTATTTCCTGTGGTGCTTGGCAGAGTTTTGAAGCTTTGAATCAAAGAGCTGTGGCAGTTGTTGTGGACCCTATTCAGAGTGTCAAAGGAAAGGTGGTCATTGATGCCTTCCGATTGATTAATCCACAAACTATGATGCTTGGGCAAGAGCCACGACAGACCACTTCCAACCTTGGCCATCTGAACAAACCATCAATCCAAGTAATGCTGATTTCTATTGTGTTGAACTCCTGGTTGAATAATAACATGACATACTCAAGTTACTGATCAGTCTCTTGTTTCCAGGCATTGATCCATGGGTTGAACCGGCATTATTACTCTATCGCCATCAATTATAGAAAGAATGAACTTGAGGAGAAGATGCTACTGAATCTTCACAAGAAGAAGTGGACAGATGGATTGACCCTCCAGCGTTTCGACACCCACTCCAAAACCAACGAACAGACAGTTCAGGTTAGTCGATGTGCATTCTCCTTTGTGGGTTTAGTATGACAATGCATAAAGTTTGGGATTTAAATTTAATGATTATCTCCCTCTATACTTAAAAGCGTTTGGTTTGATGCAGGAAATGTTGAATTTAGCTATCAAGTACAACAAAGCAGTTCAAGAGGAGGATGAGCTCCCACCAGAGAAGTTGGCCATTGCAAATGTGGGGAGACAAGATGCGAAAAAGCATCTAGAAGAACACGTCTCGAATCTGATGTCTTCAAACATCATTCAGACGTTAGGAACGATGTTGGATACAGTTGTCTTTTGAGACGGGACTCAGCTGTTTGATACTTTTTTATGTTTCTGGGAAGTGATCAAAAAAGTTTATTCCATTAGATATAGCTTAACTATAATATTTTATGTTTCTTTTGAGGCCCTAATGTTGGATTTCTGTTAGAAGCACTATGTTGCTTCCACCACTGTCTATTTTTCCTTTTATTGAAACTGTGTTGTTGATTTCGTTCTTTGTTAGCCTACATTGACTACTAGCCTCTTGTTTTTTCCCCTCATTGTGAACTAAATAGCTTGTGCACAAATGATTCAAAATGCTCTGATTGTATGCAATGTTTCTAGCTTGTACGATGTGGATTGAAGTTTTCACTTTCCAATATAACAGGGAGGACATGTATGATGTAAAGGATGGGTTTTTGTGTGCCTTTAGAGGAGCTGTCTCTTTCTGTAAGCCTGTTATTTAAAGTGCACACAAGTGTTTCTCGGATTTCAGTTTGCCTGCATATTGGTTTTCCCATTTTACCTTCATATGAGTTCTCTCTCGGACATAAAACAGTTGGTGGTTTGCAAGCTGAATCAAGATTGAAAATGGTAAACACTCTGATGCACTAGACCTAGGATCGAGTGTTGGAAGTTCATCAGCAAACGAATATGCAATTTGCAGATCCCCTCACCTGTCCAAAACAAATACTTTCAAATTAAGAGTGTCTTTGTTGAATTGAAAATACATCCAAAAATCATGTAAGAATATTTAGCTGTCATCTATTCTACGACGAGCATGACATTATTCTTGAAACTGAAGGAGTAAATGTTAGTATGTAAAGTTTAAGTTGTCTTTTACCATTACATTTATCTTTTAAGAGTACTTCCTTTGTCTAAGGAAATGATTCACCTTGTTTCACCATTTTAGTACAACAAAGTGAAAACTATTTTCTCGGACAAAGATAAGATAGTATCTTATATCTCACGGGACGATCTATATGATAGTTGTTTGATTTTGCTCGGTTGAATGATAAAATGATACAAGGGATAAATTACTCTTTGTTTCTTCGACCTGGAAAAAATATACTCCCTCCGGTCCTTATTATAAGGCATTTTGACTATTCTTAGGTTTCACTTAGTACAAATTTTTAATTAACAAAAAAAATCTTAAATATATATTTTCACATTCGTTGTGTTCTCTTGATTGTTATGAAATATTTTTAAGGTTTTTTCGTCGATAAAAAATGTGTACTAGGTTAAACCTAGGACAAATCAAAATACCTTATATTCAAGACCGGAGAGAGAGTATTTACAAGAGCGATTTCTACTGGGAATAAATCTTGCCAAAGAACCACCGAGAAAAATACACAAACTATTCGTTCAAGCACAACATTATTCACGCCATAACTCCAAAGATTGAAAAGGAAAACATCTGAAAGTTCTGAAACACGATGTGAATCCCTGCATTATATTTACAGACTTATGCTTAAACCTCGTTAACAAAAGAAGCCCATTTCTTGATCAACCCGCGAGCATTATCAGTATCCGGAGCAAATATATGGAAATCATGATCCTCCCCTGGCGTTTCCACTATCTCTGCTTTCCCCTGCCAACGACTCTGTACCAAGTACTCGGAATACTTTCTTCCTCTTTCCACTAAAATGTCATTTCCAGCAACAAATATAAGAATCCTCCCACAAGCCAACCATGGAAGTTCCTCTTCAATCCCATAAAGAAACGGATTAATCAAAGGATCATCGCAGCCTTTATCTGACGGACAAACGAATAACCACCAGTTGTCAACCATGGATTTCCTCACCGGATCTGTAATCTCAACTCCAATTGGTTCTTTTCCCCAGAAATATGGATGTATCATAACGATTCCTTTAAACCCAAGTCCAAATTTCGGGTCTGATTTTCCAGCCCTGATTGCCAGATGATGAGAAATATTAGCACCAGCACTATCGCCTGACAAGAACACTTTGCTGAAGTCAACGTTTTCATTCAGCCAATCCTCCGACCCGGTACCGGAACTATGTGAACCGACCCATTGGAGCACATCCCATGAATCTTCATAAGCTGTCGGAAGTGGATGCTCCGGCGCATTCCTGAAGTTAACTCCGGCAACAATGGCTTTTGCCTCTGCTGCGAGCCGGTTAAGGCTGCCGTGGTAGAAAGGGTCAAAGGCAGAGGAGATGCAAAATGCTCCGCCGTGGAAATAAACCACCAAAGGAAGCTTTTCGGTTCCGGTTTCGAGATTGGATGGCCGGTAGAGCCTGACAATCACGCCGGTTTCCGGAATGGCTACCACATCCTTCGACGTAACGCCGGTTTGTGGGTCTAAACCGGCCGGCGCGACGGCAAAGCCCACCAGCCTTTCTATGGTTCCATCTTTATATGACCTTATGTATGGCGGAGCATCACGTTCAATTTCTGAACTTGAAGCCATTTTCTTTTCTTAATGATCGGATAAAACAGAGAGATCAGAAAGAGTAAATTGCAAAAAATAACAATGCAACTGGAAAATGAGTTCGTTTGTGTGTACTTGGAAGAGCTGACCTTTATAGTTATAACTCTCACAAATTTAAAAGCCATCATTAAGGCTAAAATGGCCACAATTTTCTCCTCAATGGAAAATAAATAAGTCAATGATATGGTTCAATAATTATTGATGGATTAGCTGTACATTTGACATTTGACAAGAACCCAAAAACAAAAAAGTGATATAAGAAAAGATGGTCGCATAGCATGCGCACACCACTTAGTTGTTTAATGGAGAAAAGAAACCACCAAACATTAACGCAAATTAGTCCCATTTTTACTTAGTTCTCTTCAACTGATGGGATGATCATGAATCATGATTAACTTAATAAGGGTTAGAACTTAGAAGTGCTCCTCCTCAATTGCTCAAGGTCAACTTATGGTGTATAGTAATTGAGATAATAATGGGTAACACGAACCATTGACTTTGAGAATTAAATAATTGGTTTAAGTACAGTACTCTTGGGTTATAGACTTATAGTACTCTACATTATTTTTCCCTTCTCAAAATGGATGATGAAGTTGCCTGCTTAAAGCAAATACATTAAGCAATGATTCATACGGTACAATATCGGAGAGGCTTATTTGATGGAATGGTATTGTGCAAGTTAATGTCTTTAGTCTAACTAACGATTAGGTGAAGTATCATATATCATATCTTTAGCAAGAATATTCTTCTTATTTTCTTTTGGTCCTTCAGCATTTTGTATTAATTCAGTTGCCATCTGATTATGTCATCTGAGAGGCAGGCATTAAGCAAACTTATTCCTTTAGCTAGTCAGTGAAGTATCATACATCAGAACCCGAGCTAGGGAATTTTTCTCATTTCTTTAGTTTACTCTTTATTTTTCCAAAATAATTATCCTGGTGGAATTTTTTACTTTCAGTACCATGGAACGAATTTTCTAATTTTCTCTCTCTCAATAGAGCATTTCTAATAAATTGTTAATGAAAGTTTGTATAACATATACTAGGTGTTAGACCCGTACGATGGGGGAGAACATATACATACAAATAACATAACATGTGTTATATTAACTTATATATTTATCAAAAAATATGTAATAAATCAACGAATATTAGAGATATAAATGACGAAATTAAACACGAAAAAATAAATCCAGTATGAATATTATGATCTTTTAAATGCAAATAAATTCATATATAAAATAAAAAAGAATCAACGTCCATTTCAGATGAACGATCATATGTCTTGCAATACTTTCTTGTAGACGACATTCGTAGTTTTGAAACTGACGTTACCATCTTCGTCACATATCAATACTTTTATTCCTTGCCTCGAATTAACTCTTCATAGAGTAACATATAATTGGCCATGACTGGAAACTGAACGTGGCAAATATAATCACACATGAGACAAAGATTGGCCTTGACTTTTGTTTATCGTCATTGTGAAGCATATGGACACACGAAATTGCCTTCTCCTCATCTTAAAAGGATATTTAGTGTCTGACAGCAGGCAGAGTGACATCCGAGGTATATATACAATATCTCCCACATTGCTGCAAGATATCACTTTTGCTTGAATTATACGCTTTCCCAGAACTAGAACTCGAAGCCTTGTACCATTACATAGTCCAGCCCGCTGATTTATATTTCTGAGTAACATGACCGGAACACCCACTTTGAGTTTTAAAGCATGCAGTGGGAGACCACAACATTTTATACTATTGAGAAAATCATGTGTTAACATTCCTTCTTCCGTGTTTACACTACCTTCAGAATGGCATATATGCTATCAGAACTCAGGTATTGAACTTCATCTTTCTCTATAAATGCCATCATGTAATCATTTTTGAGATTATTTAAGAAATTAGGATAAGTATATTGACAATGCTTGTAAACTGATATAGACACATTATATACATATAGACACATTACAACACAAGCAAAGCAAAATAATATCAATACTATTTTTATAGATTTTGTACTTTTATAAAATGTTAACTATGAAGTGTATAATGAGTTCATTGGAAAATATAAACACAAACATTAACAACACTTTAATATATAAATACGATGGTAATTTATTTAATTCAAAGAGGATCGTTAAGAAATTCAAAAAAGTAAAAATAAAAAAAAAGAACCAACTTCGAATTAAATGATTATGGTCTTGTTTGTCGAACCACTTGTTTACTTTTTGTCTTATTTTACCTCTTAAACACAAAACCCAGTGCACTGTCCAAATAACATTTTAATTTACCTTTTAAAATGTTGCGTTTGGTCATTACACTATTGTAAAGTTTTCATTTTGGTCACTAAACTATTGTAAAGTCTTTATTGTGTTTGGTCACTGAACTATTGTAAAGTATTGCGTTTGGTCAATGAACTATTGTAAAGTCTTGTGTTTGGTCATTACACTATTGTAAAGTCTTCATTTTGGTCACTGAACTATTTTAATTTCATAAATAGTCATTATGCTATAATACTTTCCAAATTAAAAAATAAACTAAATTTTAAATCTCCTCCCATGTCCAAATCAAAAACTAAAACAAAACGTTGTCCAAACACCACCTATATGTCTTGCAGTACTTCTTTGTAGACTACATTCGTAGTCTTGGATTTACTATTACCACTTTTATGTCTTATCAGAACCTTTATCCCTCATCTCGAAGTGACTCTTGATAGAGTGACATATAATCGGTCATAAGACATTTAAAAGTGTGTTATTAGATTGTCAATTAATATACACTTTAAAGTGACTCATAAGCAAGCTAATAGTACAAAAACAACCAAAATAATACACTTATCATAGTGGTTCATTATATGAGCATACTTTTTCATTTTTTAATAGGATATTTTTCTAATAAATGTCCTAATACACATATAATGAGACACATCTTATGAAAAAGTATCCCACTATAAAAGTATTAATATCCCATATTTGTTGTAGTGCCTGTAATTGTGTGCTTCTTTTGTTAGTTTATTATGAGTGAAGATTTGTTATCATTATATATTTATCATCTTACGAAAGTTATTTGAATTTAGTTTTGAAAATTCTTATGTAAATTTGAAAGAAGAAAAATACTTACATTCTACGATGGTAATTGAACTACTATGTACATAAAAATAATGCTTCAATTTATAGAATTGTTGATTCTTTTAATGACCATGATATTTAATTCCCAAGTAGGGCAATGCAAAACAAATAATTACCTAAAATTCCAGCATCAGTTACCATCAAAAGGTTTCATTATCTCAATCCTCAAACAACACAATTTGATCGCATCATTTTCTACTTCAGAAAAGAAATTGAAAGACACAAATGAAACTTAGAAGAGGGAATGAAACTAACTGAGATTCAACACTTGAATTCGAAGAAAAATTAAAACTCTCACGATTAACCTCAAAAGGATATAAAGGTTATTTCCAAGGCAAGACGCGTCTAGGATTGGAAAGTCCAATCTCGAGCTTCAAATTCTCCATTGTTTGGCTCTATAATGAGCTTTGAAAGTCTCACGTAACAAATAATCAGTAAAATCAACCGCCGTTTCTTACAGTGCATTTCATTGTTGTTGCTGCCTCTATAGTAATTCCTTGATATTCATCATCATTCCTTATAAGATCTCTTTCTCTCTCTCTTGGATTCGGCTAAGGATTACCTAGCCCACTTTCCTAGACTACTTCCTACAACACTACACAAATAAGTGACAAGTGTCCTCTTAATTAATACTTCTATTAATCCACTAATAATTAATTAATTCTAATTAACTCTTTATAAATAGTAATCACCCATGTTAATAATTTTTACTATATAATCTTACAGTCTACCGTTCCATCCACTCCGCCTACACCATAAAATTTTGAATATTTAACCTTAATATTTAATGATAAATAATTTTTCATATTGAATATATTTAAAATTAATTAAATTAATTACATTTCTTTTTTAATAGGTACTAAAACCCAATCCAAGAAAAAAGTAAACTTTTGGAAAAATTATTACACTAGGTTAACATGATTTTATTGGTCGTCCTAACCAAACCTTCCTGAAACTTATTATTATTATTATTATTATTATTATTATTATTATTATGATGATGTCGACACATAAGAGAATTCAAGAATATGGACTATGGCCTACAACGCATGCTTCTCATTTCCATTGATATTATTAATTCTTGAAAAAATGACAAAAAAGGTTAAATATTAAGTTTTTGTAATATGTGAAAAAATAAGTTCAGATAATGAAATATTTAACTGGGGATTGAGCTTTATGGTGGTAGCGAAGAAGATTGATGGATAGGCTTTTCTTTTTTAAAAAAAAATTCGTAGGATGTAGGATGTATAATATAATAATTATGGGATAATAATTGTCAACATGGATGATTACTAATTAGAAACACCTAATTCTGAACTAATTATTTGTGGATAAATAGAAACATTAATTAAGAGGACACTTGTTACTCATTTGTATAGTGTTGTAGGAAGTGGTGTAGGAAAGTGGGCAAGGTGATCCTTAACCCTTGGATTCCGTTTGTTATGAGAAGAGATTCGATTTCCTATATCTTCTAAGGATATGATTCACTGCATCTTAATCAGATCTCATAGTTCAACTTTAAATCTATTATTGATAAAGGGAAGAGACTAATTTAACATCAAATCTCTTTTTTTAGAGGAATCAATATCATAAAGTTCCTACAAATTAGAAAAATTTAATCCTTTTTTTAAGGAAAAAAAAATTTAATCATGATCATTGATTAGTTTCATTAAGGAGGATTAATTTTTTTAATAAAAAAAACTTGAAAGATAACAAAATACCACATATGACTTAATCCTATGTGACATGATACTTTAGAATTTCTCTTTCTGGAGTTTACCTGGGTATAGTATATTGTGTGTGTGTGTGTGTGTGTGTGTGTGTTTGTCTACATATATATATATATATATATATATATATATATATATATATATTATGAAAAATCTAGAATCCCGTTGGTCATTTTTACGGAAACTTCCCGTTTTTTCTCCAACCAATCAAAATTGAGGGTATAAGATGTGGGTGAATAACATTCTAAAATATGTGAATGATGAGTTGGTTCAGTAGTAACACCACCCTTACTCCAAGAGGAGGTCATGAGTTCAATCCCCCATTCCAACAAAAACTGAGGGGGTTGGCTCTCACCTTGCCTATTGGCACCTCTAGGGGTTTGTTATAACTAACCCACTAATGAACCCCTGGATTTCGCACCCGAACTTGTCACCCTGGGCTTGCCGATGGTGGTTTACTTCCCACTGTGGTTTGCAGACTATTGCAGTAGGCGTGGGTTTACCCATCTCTGGTGGGGTTCCCGGCGTTATAAAAAAAAAATACATTCTAAAATATCCTAAACTAATTAAGAATATAGTCAATTTTGCCCAAAGTTTCAAGTGTCTGGCAAATTTAATCCAAAAGATTTTTCGGGAACCAAATTCATCATCTAAGTTTCAATTCTGGCCAATTTAATTTAATTGATGAGAATTCTATTAGATTTAACATTTTCACTGATATTCCGTTACTTTGTACAGTTTTTTATTGGGAAAAAATTTTGTTAATTCAAAAAATTTTAATATTTTTATTCATACTATTTTGTTATTCAGTAACATACGCTTATCTTACCATTTAATTATTATAATCGTTCACACCACATAATTTATCTCCGAATCTAATCCTTTCTTCCTCCTCCTTCCCCCTTTGTTTTCTGCCACGGCACCGCCACCATCCCATTAATCTTCTCCCCTAAAAATTACCATCACCACTTCCTAAATTTGTGAGAATTTCAAATCATCATCACAAACATAATAATATGCCTCCACCAACAGTACACAATCATCCGTCCATCACTACCAGCATTTCCGTCGTAGCCACTTTTCTTCAATTCCACAAAGAAATTACAAAATACTTTACTTATTTTTCCTATTTTTGTGACGTCTGTGAGATTTAACCTACTTGATATTTCGTATAGTTCCCGAGTAGCATGATAGATAATGAAAATTGTATTAAATTAAAAGCTAGCTAGGTTAGCATTAAACTTACAAATAAATAAAACAACAATAGAAACAGGAAAATTTAACACTTTTAAGTTAATCGATGCCAAGATAATTGAAATGGACAAATTTGATAAACTAGGACAATTTTTTTTGAGAACGCCAAAAAAAAAAGAAAAAGGGAAGAGATCTAATACTAATCTAAATGTTATTATTTAAATATGTTATTCTAGTGCCTTGGAGGCTTTATGTTAAATTAATTTTGTTTCATGGAGGAAATTTGAAGTACAGTTTGTACTTTCATTCGTGGTAGATATTGCATGGGTGTGTATAATGGGGATGTGGGTAGAGACAAAAAAATGCAATGATTAGGCCTTGAATTTTTTTTTAAAAACAAGGGAGGACAAACTAGAAGATTTTAAATAATAGAAACTAAAGAGGTTCTAGACCCATAGCTTAACACCGGGAAGGTTACAAGCTTGAGGTGTCCATTTTTCAGCTTAATCTGCTGAATTTCCACGCAAGAAAACCTTAGAAAGTAAGCTAAGGATAAATAATAATAATAATAATAATAATAATAATAATAATAATAATAATAATAAAGTTTTATAGGTTAACCGCCTAAAGGAGCCTTCCTTAGACTCGTTAATATAAAAGCAGGGAGGGGGGAAAATATGTAGATAGGAGAGTTTAGGGAGGTAGAAAAAAAAAGAAGAAGAAGAAGAAAAGAAAGAGTAAGGGGAGAGGGAAAGCGAAGGAGCAGGAACTGAAGAAGAAGTAGCTCGTTTTGGTTTCGATTTCGTGTGTTCTTGTCCTCCATTACGGTGTAAGCAGGTAATTTAATTTCCCTTCTCCCCTTATGGGAAGATAGATGATGTTGTCCTTCCTCTTATTTGTGGATTTAAGTTGATATGGGAACCATGAACACGCACTTGATGAGAATAATGACTTGAGTGTTATAATTTAACTAGTCGGGGGAGGAGTTAGTTTTAGCCGGAAACAAGGTAGGTTGATATTGATTCTGAAACTTAAGGAGATGCAATAAACTATAGAATTCAGTTATTAGAGCTGGTTAGTCTTGACTTTAGAAAAAAAAGGGTGAACAACTGCCGAACGGCAACCGAAATCGAAAGACAACAAGGGGTCATTAGAAACCGATCTTCCCTTGTTGCAGTTGAGGAAGTAGCTGCGTTTGAAGCCTCTCGCTGCTTAGACGACTTATAGGGAAGAGAAGAATATATAACTATGCGTTTGAAAATTTTAGAATCGAGCTCAACCAAAGACACCGAAGTCGATCTTTAATTGTAACAATTAGACGGCCACCTCTACATAGGTTCTTACTGTTAATCTTGGAACCAATTGAGCCTAAGAAAACCATCTTCAATTTAGCATGCCTCAAGCTTTGGTTGCCAGATTAAAAGGTTTTATTGGAATGAATATATATAGAGAGATAAAATATGTGAGTCTTATACTCTTCCCTGAACCTAGACTCACGTTAAAAAAAAAAAAAAAAAAATTCACAAGGAGGACCAGTAGCTACATGATTAAGGTGGGAACTAGCTTGATTAACCAAAAACTGTAAACACATAAAAGTAAAGAAAGCTAGTTAAAACAAAACTAAATTAAAGTTTACGTAAATATACATATATGTGTATATAGATCAAAAAGAAAGAATCCTTAATCTAATATTTAATTAGAGTGACAAGAAATAAAAGATAATAATAATAATAAAATTAAACAATTAAATTATGGATATATTAACAATAATAATAAATGACTAGACTACTAAGATAATGATAGTAATAATAATAACCGTAATAACCAAAGTATTGGTTATAACTAAATTTAATTATGAACTAGATAATAACCTTACCAAGTTAAGTTAGTGAGTCTATCATATAGTACATGTTTACCAATTAAAATAACGTTGTAAGAAACGTTTACATGCAGACCAAGTGAACGAGGAAACTAATCAGCTCGGCAACGCCGGTGAGTAATTCTCACTCTTTTAAAAATTGGGAGTATGAGAATACATATTTTAAAGTCACTACACACATGAGTACATTTTTAAATGTTATTGAATTATTAAATGCATATTGTTAAATGACCCGAAGGTGTACTTTATCGTCCTGGAGTATGTGTTCTATGTGACTTCTAAGTGTTATCGTATCTAAGATAAAATGGTATCGTTATGTGATTGGTCATCATTGTTGACTTGTTACTTGATTGAATATGATCGTTGAATGCGTTACTTCTGGTGGTGTACTTTATCACTCCAACAAAACTATTGTTGTGATTGATTGATTAATGTGAAATAATGTGTGATTGTTGCTTCGGTGGACTCTGTTCACTTGGAGCCTGGGCCCTGCCTTTGCTAGGCGAAGCCTTGCGGGCCGGCATCAAGCTTGGTCGCCGGGTTAGCTTACCTAGGCTTATCGTGTTGTCCGGATGGACGCGAAACTCATGAGTATCCAATGGTGGCCACGAGGTGTTGGAGAGGAATTGTTATCGAATTGTTATCATGTTGTCCGGATGGACGCTATCGTATTGTTGAAATCTGGCTTGGAGTCCGTCTCTGTGCCACGTTGGCTCTTTGATGGCCCTTACTAAGGTTTCTCTGTATCCACCCTATTGTTGATTGTTAAATGTTTCTATGTGAAATCGTTTTATATTTGAATATTGCTTTTCAAAAAGAGTTTTATTAAAAGTATCGTAGTAGTATAGTGAGAACCTCACTGAGCTCGGCGCTCACCCACTTTTATATTTTATTCCCCTAACCCACTCCCAGGTCCGAGCGCGATGGAAATTTAGCCAAGCTACGAAACGATCGGTTCGTGAGACGGTGTTCGATGTAAATAGTTCGCTAGCTAGTTTGTGTTAGGTTACGCGTGTGTAATATAACCCTTTTGACGAGAAACATAACTCAAGCTCACGTTTGAGCTTTGTAATAATGTTGCCTTTGTACCTTTATGTAATATAAAGTTTGCGGGTTTTAATAATTAATTGATAAACGAACCTTAGCGCGAGCTAGGTGGACGCCTTAACTAGACCATTTAGTTGGGTAAAAATGGGTGGCTCTAGTCCGGGTTGTCACAGGTGGTATCAGAGCGCGGTTAGAGATCGAGTTGGTACCTGTGTAGGTATTAAGTAAGTAATATCGTCTTGGGTTACTGGCTGCTACTCCATTGTAGGATTTCATGGAGGGTGCATGTGTTATACGCTATCAGCGTCGCGAAGGAGCAAGGCATTGCCTTTTGGGCACCCTATGTAGTACGAGGAAACATGTGCCAACACTTCGTAACCCATTCCTACCCAAACCATGTGGTACATGCGGTTGTTCGTGAAAGAGATCAGCTCCGACGTCAAGAAGAACGTGACCTACATACATAGGAACATCAACGGGAGCGTGTAAGGAATTTGGAACAACCGGCTAAGGCTGCTGAATATCGGGAGAGGGAAATGTCGACCTGGATGGCAGATTGGAACAAGCAAATGGCGTATAAAAATCAGCAACTCAAGCGTAGGAATTACGAGATAGAACTCAAAGACCGTGAGATAGAGGCGAAAGATCACCAAATCTACCAGTTGCGTAAAGAATTGTATCAGGCATGTCTGGGGTCTCGAGCTTTCTCGACCAATGAAGCGACAAGCTCCGGTGCAGCAATGGAAGTGGCCTGCGACTGTATTGAATCTCACGAAGGGCGGAAGGCAACCTCCGGAGATGAGCAAGAGCGCACGGAAAACATCACTGAATCGGTAGCTAAGTAGGTTAATAGAGCCACTAAACTTGAACGTGTATATTAGGGGTCAACTACTGTCGACTTCGTTTTAAATAATCCATAAGGACCCTTTTGTTGTAATATAGTGTCCTTCCACTTATGTAAATAAGTTGGGAAAACTAGTCATTTTGTACGTTGGTAGTTGGAGAGGTGTGGTCGTGAGTAATTTATGTAAAATACTATGTTGTTAGTACATGTATGTGATTTTATATGTTATCACCATGGTTTTGAAACTTTTAGTGAATAGGCTTATTAAATAGTTCTATTTAGGTGGTATCCTAATTGAAACGTGTTTATAGAGCTTGGCCTAGAATATACGACAAGTTTATGGTCTAACAGGTGGGTAGAAAATACTTTTAAGTTAAGTTATGTTTTCATATGGAAAGTACTGACCTTTCTCCATTCATGGTAGGATCTCATGGAGCGAGCACCAGCTATCCGCTAAGCGTTGGGAGGGATCTAGGTACTTAACCTACACTCCCTATTGGGGAAGTCGTTCAGGTATGTGCCGACACCTTGAGACACATTCATAACCAAATCACGTAGTGAAGGCCATAGCTAGGGAAAGGGATGATCTCCTGGAGCGTGTGGAACAAGTTGTTGAGATACGCCACCATCAGTTGGAGCGGATGCAGGAAATGGAGTTACGTGCCAGACATGCTGAGGATAGGGAAAGGGATGCGCGTGCTAAGGCGGAGGAGCAGATTGTACGCAAAAATCAGGAGCTCGACCAGTTGCGCGCAGAGCTGCAATTAGCACATGCAGAAATACAGTCCGCACATGTTGAGTTTCAGCACTATAGAGAGAGTGTGCTTGCATGTGCCGATACCCTTCTCCAGGCTTCTCGTAGACACGTGGAGGCCATCGAGGGTCCTGAGGCGATGGTTGAGTGATATCATTAGGGCTATGTATTTATGTAGTGCGTAAGTTTGCCAGTTCTTTTGGCTTTCTTTGGGTGTTAGTTATAGGGATCTTTTGGTATAACATAATCCCATTTGAATCCTTTTGCAGTTTAGCTGGCAAACTGTCTAGGTCTTAAGTTGTAGGAGAAAAGCTTGGTTGTTAAATATCCCTGTAAATATGGCTTGCTATTTTATCTGAGTAGTGTTTCCCCTTATATTGATCCTCCTTTAATTTCCTGTTATACATCTCCCTTCAGTTTTCATCGTTTTTGAATTTTAACAACCTTAGAAATATATGTAGAAAATGGAAGAATATACCCTGTCGGAGCCTGCAGAAACACGTCCTGAGCCTGAAGCTAGAATTGGCAATATGACGCTGGAGATGACTCGTGCCTTTGAGCAAATGAGAAAGTATTACGAGCAAATGGGGGCAATGACACCACCGCCACAAGGGCAACCACAGAACGCTGGACAAGGTGAAGATGTGGCGTTAGAACGCTTCCACAAGTTCAACCCTCCAAAATTCAATGGAGAACCAAACTATGAGAAAGCAGAATTGTGGTTAGAGACCATAACTGAAATATTTGACACTCTCAAGTACTCCGAAGAACGTCAAGTTACATTTGCAGTGTATCGACTGGAGGCAGCAACCAAAGCTTGGTGGAGGTTAATCAAACTCCGATGGGATCGAGACCATGTGCCTTATACCTGGGCCAACTTTGTCAAAGAATTCACCGCTAAGTATATACCTACTATTGTGTGCAAACGTAAGCAAGAGGAATTCATCAACCTTCGCCAAAACACTGCTACTGTACTCGAATATGAAGCTACCTTTACCAAGCTGTCAAGGTTTGCTCCAAAGTTGGTCGAGACGGATGAGGAACGACCACAAAGATTTGAACAGGGCCTTAATTTGGAGATTCAAGCCTCACTGTCCGCTACCAAATATGAGTCTTTCGAGGAGATGTTTGAGGCCCCCAAAAAGTGGAGGGTAGTCAGGCTAAGCTTCGAAACTTCCACAACCAGAAGCGGTCTAATACGAATGCGTGGCTGAAACCAAGAGGAAATATCCCTCCGAAACGACCAGGAATCCCTCTAGGAAAACGAATGGGTCCTCCCAAACCAATTGTCAGAGTCCAATCTGGATCAAACGTGGTGCCAACTTGTTTGTTCTGCCGTAAACCTGGTCACCTCGAGAAAGACTGCTTGTTTAAACAGCGGAGGTGTTTCGGTTATGGGAGTACTGAGCATTATGCTTGTGAATGCCCAAATATTCGTGATAAATCAGGACCGAGTTCCCAAGCTGGAGCTGCCCCACCCCCAAAGAAGCCCGAAGGGGAGACTCGTAAACCCCGAGTCCCTACACGAGTCTTTTCTTTAGAAAAGCGGGATGAACCAGAGCCTAACAATGTTGTCGAAGGTACGCTTCTTGTTCTCCATCAATTAGCTACCGTTCTGATTGATCCTGGTTCTACTCATTCTTTTGTTGCACCAACCTTTATAAAAAAATGTAATATTGGGACAAAACAATTACCCTACTATCTAGAGGTTGGTACCCCACATCAAGTAAGAGAATCCTTACCGAACGTTATACCAGGACTGTTAGGTAGAAGTTTAGGAAAAGAAATTTCCAGCCAATCTAATCCTGTTACCTATACAAGATTATGATGTCATGCTAGGGATGGATTGGTTGTCGCAGTATCACGCTCAATTAGATTGTCGGACCAAGGAAGTAAAATTTTGTATTCCTTGGGAGGACAATTTGCACGTTTGTCTAAAAGGAAAATCAAAGAATGGGGGTATAATTTCTGCTACTCATGCTAGGAGGTTGCTTTGGAAAGGGGCAACAGGATGTCTAGCATATATCATAAATAATTCTCAGGATAAACTGAAACTACAAGAAGTGCCAATTGTTCAAGAATTTCCTGACGTATTCACAGATGAGCTGACATCATTACCACCTGATAGGGAAATTGTATTTGTTATAGATTTAGCCCCTAGTGCGACCCCAATTTCCCGAACTCCTTACCGTATGGCCCCAATAGAACTTAAGGAACTTAAAATTCAGCTTCAAGATTTGTTGTCCCGAGGATTCATTCAACCTAGTACGTCACCTTGGGGAGCTCCTGTTTTATTTGTTAAAAAAAAAGATGGGACGTTGAGGTTATGCATCGATTACCGAGGGTTAAATAGCGTAACCATCAAAACTAAGTATCCATTACTGTTGATTGATGAACTTTTCGATCAACTTCACGGTGCGACAATGTTCTCAAAACTGGATTTGAGACAAGGATACTATCAGTTACGAATCAAGAAAGAAGACGTACCCAAGACAGCATTAAACACCCGTTATGGTCATTATGAGTTTGTTGTCATACCATTTGGATTGACCAACGCGCCTGCAGCTTTTATGGATTTGATGCACCGAGTCTTCCAGCCATATCTGGATCAGTTTGTGGTAATCTTTATTGATGATATTTTGGTATACTCTAAGACACCTACTGAACATGAAGAACATCTAAGGATAGTACTTCAAACTTTAAGAGCACATAAGTTGTACGCTAAGTTAAGTAAGTGCGAATTTTGGCTAGAAAAGGTGTCCTTTTTAGGCCACGTTATTTCACGAGATGGTATCACTGTTGACCTTTCTAAGATCGAGGCCATCCTTACGTGGAAGCAACCTGAGACTCCAACGGAGATACGTAGCTTTTTGGGTCTAGCAGGATATTACCGAAGGTTTGTCCCTGATTTCTCCAAATTGGCTGCACCATTAACAAAGTTAACACAAAAGCAGGTCAAGTTTGTGTGGGATGATAGAACCGAAGCTAGTTTTCAAGAGCTAAAACGGCGGCTCACAACGGCACCAATCCTTGCCCTCCCTAGTGAGAAAGGAAATTTTATGGTATACACAGATGCTTCAAAAGAAGGACTCAGATGTGTATTAATGCAGAATGAGAAAGTGATCACATTCGGTTCTAGGAAACTAAAATTGTATGAGCAGAATTATCTGACTCATGATCTTGAGCTTGCAGCAGTAGTATTTGCGTTGAAGAAATGAAGACATTACTTATTTGGAGCCACTTTTGATATCTACACTGATCACAAGAACCTTAAGTATCTTTTTTCACAGAAGGAGTTGAACCTACGTCAGCGCAGATGGATTGAATTCTTGGAAGATTACGATTGTAAGATAAATTATCATCCCGGAAAAGCTAATGTGGTAGCTGATGCTCTAAGTAGAAAAGTTCAAGTAGCAAGGTTAACGGCTTGGAAGATGGAGTTGCTCGAATATGTCAGTGGTTGGAAGCCCGAGGGAGGGTTACATGTTCCAATATTGCAGTTCGTCCAACATTACTACTTCAACTTAAGGAGGCCCAAGAACAAGATCCAACTTTGCAACAACTACGCAAGCGAGTTGAGATGGGAGAGATACCTAACTATGCGTTAGGACTTGATGGAATTTTGAAATTCCAAAATCGGGTGTGACTACCCCAAAGTTCTGAATTGAAGAAAGCGATCCTTGAGGAAGCACATCGGTCCAACTATACAGTCCATCCAGGGAACAACAAGATGTATAGGGATTTGAAGCCATATTATCATTGTGGTAACATGAAGAAAAATATTGCCCAATATGTTGCGACATGTCTTACCTGTCAGCAGGTGAAATTGGAACATCAACGACCCTCCGGACTATTGCAGCCATTGGATATACCTGAATGGAAGTAGGAGCATATCACTATGGATTTTGTTTGTGGATTACCTCGAACATCTAAGGGTTATGATGCGATTTGGGTAATTGTTGACCGATTAACCAAGTCTGCTCATTATCTACCAGTGAACATGAGATATTCGTTGGAAAAATTAACCTAGATTTATATAGATGAAGTAGTGAGGCTACACGGCATACCAGTTACCATAGTCTCTGATCGAGATCCTTGTTTCACTTCTCATCTCTGGCAACAGTTGCAATAGAGTTTAGGTACTAAATTAAACTTAGCACTACAGCGCACCCTCAAACAGATGGCCAATCAGAGCGAACAATCCAAACTCTTGAAGACATGCTCCGTACGTGCATTCTTGATTTTGGAGGTAATTGGAACCAATACTTTACATTGGTAGAGTTTGCCTATAATAATAGTTATCATTCTTCCATTGGGATGGCACCGTATGAGGCACTATATGGTCGGAAGTGTCGTACCCCGTTACACTAGGATGAAGTTGGCAAAAGGAAAATTGTGCAACCGGATCAGATACCATGGGTTGAGGAGGCTTATCAAAAGGTGCGGATGATTCGTCAGCAACTATGAACTGCACAGAGTCGACAAAAGAGTTATGTAGATAACCGCCGAAAGCATCTGGAGTTCGAGGTCGGTGACAAAGTGTTTCTAAAGATATCACCTCAGAAGGGAATTGTTAAACATGGAAAGAAAGGTAAGTTGAGTCCGAGATATGTGGGACCGTTTGATATAACCAAAAGGATCGGAAAAGTTGTGTACCAACTTGAACTTCCACCCCACCTCTCCAAAATGCATAACGTGTTTCATGTATCTCTACTTAAGAAGTATCATCCCAATCCCAACCACGTTATACAATATGAAGACCTTGAGGTGGGCGAGAACTTAGTATATGAAGAAAAACCAATAAAGATTCTTGATCGCAAAATCAAAGAATTACGTACGAAGACAATCCCGCTTGTCAAAGTACTCTCGAAGCATCATGATGTAACAGAAGCAACGTGGGAACCTGAAGCTGATATGAAGATAAAGTACCGAGAGCTATTTCACGAATCAGGTACAAATTTCGAGGACAAAATTCTTTTAAGGGGGAAAGGATGTGACGTCTGTGAGATTTAACCTACTTGATATTTCGTATAGTTCCCGAGTAGCATGATAGATAATGAAAATTGTATTAAATTGAAAGCTAGCTAGGTTAGCATTAAACTTACAAATAAATAAAACAACAACAGAAACAGGAAAGTTTAACACTTTTAG